TTACATATATCGCCAGCGTTAGGGCACCTATCCAAGTTATATAATTAGAAAAGTATCCGCACAAAAAAACACGAGAATTCCGCGAGTTCTGGGGCGGGCGCAACGCTGAATGCTGCGGCGACAATGACAAAGTCGCGGATCCGTGTTTTCTGTCATCCGAAAGTGCAGGTCATCCGAGGAGTTCAAACAGCTGACACACAACCAGTGGCATCCGAAGGTGGGGTAAGGGATTTAACACAGAGGAACACACGGACACGCGAAGTGCGGAAAGAACCATTTACCGATCTCGTTTTCGTGGTCGCGTTTTCGTTTTCTCGATCTCGATCTCGATCTGGATCCCGTCTCTGGGGCAATGTGACGTTGTCAAAGTCCGTACATCAACTAAACTACAATTAATTTCAGATGCGCTCAGCTCGTCGCAGGGCGAAGCGTAACACTCATGCCTATACAAACACACACTAGTGCTGAAATACACACGCAGGTACCCAACTCAAAGTACAGCTGAGGCCAACGAAATAGTTTGTAATTTCATAATATATAATGCAATATAATATTTTTATATCGTCATTTAAATTCTGAATTATTCTGTCGGTAATTATTTTTAGTGAAATTAATTAAAATTTTGTTTAATAAATTTGTTTTAAATTATTAGTTATGAAGTTACTGTACTGAGTTTTGATATTTGTTTTTATTTAAAATTTCACAAGAGTTGTTATCTCCTATAATTTTGCTTGAAATTATATTTCCCATAAAGCATGTCTCGTTGACTAAGATATTTTTATCTTCGCTGTAAGCTTAAGAAAATCCTATTGGGTATGCAATAAATTCTTGTCAGTGATTCTCGAATAAAGCTGAAGTACTATTTATTTCAAGAATTATTTTGAAGAGGACTATTTTTATGACCACTGCTGTGGGCAAAAAAGGGAAAAGGAAAGGGCCCTCGGTTTATGGCGAATTTCAACAAGAATGGCTCCGAGAGAAACATTCAGAGAGGCAACCAGCCTAAGCGACAAAGAGAGGGGGTGTTTTATCAAGCAGCACGCATTTGTAGTCGTTAATGTAGTTGTCGCCTGCCAATAAACACACATGTGGAGAAAATGCAGTTTATGTAGGTAGCCGACTGCTTTTTTCCCGAACATGTCTGTGCAAGAAGCGCGAACAGGTAAAAGGAATCGAAGAGCTCGAGGATCCAGGTGTAGAAAACTGAGAGGAAAAAACGAAGATAAATCGAATCGTCAATGCCGATTAGGCACATGTTATCGGGAACTAGAAGGTCCCTTACGAATCGGATTTGTTTTATGACTACAGTAAAGGTGTATTGCAAAAACCCTTATTAACATCCAAAGTTCATAAGGTATTGTAAATATTTAAACACAATAAACAAACCGTTTATTTACAACACTTTTGATGCAGTTCACCTTAAATGACTTTAAAATATTTAAAGTATTAAAAAAATGAATAACTAAATATATTTGTATACCCAATACTACTTAATACTTTTAAGTTTTAAAATAAATAAATAATAATCACATTCCCGTGATCACTTTTGTTGTATAATTGGTTTACCTTTTAGAATTCTCACTGTTTCAACATTTTGTTGCTCTTTGTGTGCAACTGCTTGACCGCCCAGTGCAGTCTACGTTGCAGTCTTTAAATGTTAAACCGCACTGTAGCAACAACTAAGACAACAGCAGCCAGAGAGATAATGCCAACAGCAACAACAATGACAGCGAATGGCTGAAATACTTAGCTAAAAAGCTAAAATTAGCAGGCAACTGTGAATTTGAACGTTGACGCCGGCCGGGCAGACAGCATCCAAAGTGGGAAGAATGGGACAGAACGAGATGAGAGCAGTAATGAATGAGATGGAGGAGGCCAGCTTTTCATTTTGGAGAGCCTCATAAACAATGACAATTGTGAGGCTCTTTCTCTCGAGTTCTCAAGTTCGCTCTCACACGGTAGATTCAAGGTTAACGGTTTCTCACCTTGGAGCCAGATGCTGTAGCACTGCTTACTTTAACGGTGCCTCCACTGCTTAAAAAAGCAGTGGATACTGCTTTCCCAAAAGCCCTCGAAATTTAAAAATGATATTTCCGTATATAATATAATTTTTGGCGATCTGACGTCAAACCACGATAAAGGCAAAAGCTCTAAGTTCTCATGACTTTTCGACTCCCTTATCTTTAATTTCTAATTGCAGACAAGTTATCGCTAGCTAAGGAATTAAGTCATTTCTACTGGCTTATCATTGTTATTTGTGCGTTCTGGCTAATTTTCGTTTTTTGCACTTGAATGCAAATTTTTCGCATATATGAATAATCTTTTTCTTGGCGCAGAATTAGCAATGGCCAGAAAAATATCGATGATCTAATCGATTCCGGCTGGAGGTATAAACATACATATATACAAAACTGGAAGACCAGGGCACGTAGCATTTCTCTTTTGGCCGTTAGTCATTCTAGTTCTTATAACAGTCTAAAAATTGAATGAAATAAAGCCCTAAAGACCGTTGGCCTAGATTGTTATATCTTAAAATTTAATAACAATGTTGTCATGACTAAAAACTGAAATGATTCCATTTTAACTTTGATATAGTTCATAAAGTAATTCGAGCTATAACGGCATAGATATAACAGTGAACTATATACGAATATTTAAATGTGCAGAAATTGATTAAAAAGTAATATTGCACGAAATCGCCAACTGCCACAATGGATGATTAATCATCTATCTTAACGGTAGACTTGTTACAAAAACATAAATCTCTAATTAACAGTTTTACATTCACCGTGTACTGACGCCGCTTGGTTGGGTTTTCCTTTACGGCCAGGTCCATCGGTTGGTGAATGCTAATGTGGGCTGACTTCCCAACTGACTGACTCAATTATTCAAGTATTCGAGTGTGCCCACAGTGGGCAGTCCACAGCGAACAGCACTTAAGCTCTTGGCCATGGCCAAATTGGGCATCGTACTCGGGCAAAAACCTAGAGAAAACCATAGGAGCTACATGTCTAGCCACTCGTGCAAATTATATTTTGGCCAAAATGGAGGATAAAGAATAATGTAGAAAAGGGGAGAGCATATTTTCGCAAAACTTGGGGAGTGGCCGAGCAATAAAAATTGATTTTTTAGAGCTGGCTCATATGCATTATACTACCAAAAATTTGACTAAAGCTGAAAGCGGAATTAGTTCCTTTGAACTTTAAATTTCAAAAAGGTAACTATATCCATTTTTGGCGTATTTTCTTTTAAAATATTCAAAAAGAGTATTCTTTATAGATTTGCTCGTAAAAATGCAACATATTAGTCTATGATTACTTAGGGCTATAAATTTTTTTATGACTTTTAGTAGCAATTGTCACCCTGTGACGATATATGTTTAACTGACCAATAAAACTATTTTCTACTGATTAAAATAGAGGTACAGTTTTCATTATTAGATGATTTATACTATTAAATGATTTAATGGAATTTAAAAAGAGATTCTAAACATGAAAAACAAAATAAATACAAAGCCAAAGTTCAGTGATTAGTATTTAGTCACAGCCAATCTAAGTGCATGATTAGCGAGTGATTTTTAATAATAACCGCAAGTCTCAGACAAAGGCTAAATGAAATACGAATTAGTCATAGCATGAACAAATGATTTTTACAGTCATAAGCTGATTAAAAGTAGTGTACTAAATGTTGATATAGACATATAAGTACCTATAGAAAGTGCTTGGAGAGCGTCGCTTGTACTGAGCTCAGATTGCATGCGAGGCCTTTGCTCCCTTTTCTCTGGCGGGGAAAATGGCAGACTCCCCATATCATTTTGCAATTTGCAGTTGTAAAAAGTTTTTGTAAATATGCATAAACAGTGAATATACGAAAAATCGCCACTTTCTAATTCATAGATTTAGAAATCGAACAGATTTAACTTACTCCCTTTTCTAAAAGGGTAAGTTTGTGAACGTAATATAAATTTCGCCTAAAGTTGGTTATTATTAAAGTAATATTATCATATAGATACCTATATATTATTTTTATTAGTTATTTCTATTTACGAAGCTTTACTGTAGTAGACAGCTCCATGGCGTTTGGCGGGTAAAGTTGGTTTAGCTTAGCATGCGATCCGATTACGGTTACCGCTCACCGCTTCAGTGCAAATCGTTTGGTTGGCGGGTAACTGAACTATATAAAAGCGGCGGCTAATTGCAATGCGACTGGACTTGCAACTAAATAAAATCAAGGGGAAGGGAAGCGTACTTTGAATGAGGGGGCGTGGTAGCTACCCCCGTAAAAATGCAAATTATTTTTTTCAGACACCCCCTCCAGGTGAAAGCCGCATACAACAGGAAATAAAGCAGTGCTAGAAACTAAACATAAAACGTGCCCACTAGATATTAAAGCCTTTGATAATGATCATAAAAGTACAGCAAATAAATAAAATTGCATTTCGCCTGTAATTTAAGAACTGGACCCTTAACCTTACCTCGAGAACAATTAGAATGCATTTTATTCTGAATCAAAAATTAGTAGATTTTAATGATTCGAATTTTGCTTTATTCATTTCCTTTTATTATATATAATACTGCCCTAGAAAAGTACTGAGAATAAGAAACAAAAAAATCAAATAGATAGCACACCTACAAAGACAATGCAGAGAAGCGTACTCGAAAGGATATGCGGAATAATGTGGCATACTTTCTGGGACACTGCTTGCAAAAGTTAATACGGGAGCAGCAACAAGAAATACAGCAGCAGCGGCAACACAAAGCCTGACATTTGTACTTGTATTTGTAGGCTCTTAACAAAATGGGGAGACAAAATAAAGCAACAACAACAATAATAAAAGCAAAAAAGGACAACGGGGGTGGCTCGATGACATCATCATCATCACCATAACGCGTATTGACAATTGTTTCATACGATTTGTACAGTTTAAAGGCTTAACTGTCACATACACTGCGGTCAAGCAGCACATTCGCGGCACACGGTTTTAGCAGCACTGGACTTACCTTGCGGGTGCAAACGTTCGGGTTTAAACCAGGCATCTGCAAATAGGCGATTGATATATTGATTTTCGTTAGTTAGCGGTTAGTCGTGGTGCAAAACAGACAATAAAAGAAAGGAGGTAGCGTGCAAAGGCGGTCAATAATTTAAAAAAACAAAAGCCCATTCCAAAAGCAGTTAGGGAAAGTAAAGGACAAAGCCGTTTGGGTCACATAAACTAAGCAGTAATAAAAATAATAATAGCTATATTACATTAAAGTCTTAAAACCACTTGTACAACACACTAAAAATACAAAGTATAGACAAATTATACAATCCTTAATTATAAAACTACCACCCAGGCCACCGTTGTCAGAGGTTAGTTTTGTTGTTTTTCATCTTATTTTCGAATTTTGGGGTGAGTTTCGTTGTGGGGTATTTTTCTTTTTTTTATGAATATGAGAGCCACTTACTGGGATCGAGTATGGAGCAAATCAATGGGCGATGCTTGCACACGCCATTCTGACCGGTTTCGCCAATTGCAGACATTATTTGAGCCTGTTTTTTCTATTTTAGAACACTTTTTTGTTAGCACTATAAGCTATCCTTTTTTTTCTGGATAGCAACTTTTCGGGTTTTCTGTTTTTCCTTTTTTCGCTTGTTTTCGTTAGCAAAAGCACAGCGCAGAAAGAGAGCGGAGAGAACGAACGGGTATTACGACGTTAAGGTATTACGCTATAAGAATTTTACACTTCCGTGTGGCGGCCTCACGACGCGTATAGAGACTGAAACGTATCAGGAAAAGCTTCGGCCCAAAAAGCAGGCCGGGGAGTCGCCCCTCCGAAAAAGGACAACCCTAAGCTCAGAGCGACGGCGCCGAGAGAGAGAGTTGAATAGAAACTGCAGAGCGATGCCCCCTACTGTGCCCACTAATGTTCTACAGTGGAACTTTGCTACTTCGAATTTCCTTAAATTTCTTTTGATAGATAAAGATTTTGTCACAGAAATAATCCGTGATTTCAAATCATTTAGTAAGGCATCCAAAAGTATGGAAATATTTTTAAACCTTTCACGAAGTTTTGGTTTAACAAACTAACTTATCAAAAAGTAATAACATCACATAATTCATAATCCCACTTTTTGGGATTCCACTGTAATCACACCGCAGGGCTGAAGGCGATGCCAAATCAATGAGAGGGCAACCGCAAGTCTCGCCAAGTTGAGCAACCGCGCTTAGCCCTGAACTCGGTGTCTCAGCGAATTGCCGCCAAGTTTGGAAAAGCTCGAGAGCTAGAGGCCATCGATTTCACCTATTGCAGCTGACCTGTTCGGCGAATGGAGAGTTTTTCCGGGCGGAGACTTTTTCCATTGCCACCAGGCGCATGCGTGTTGCCCCTGCAGGAATCTTGTTGTTCTTATTCACCAGCCACCCACTCACTAAGTAGACCGGAAATTGCCAGACGCTGGCAACTTTTTTTGGGTGCGGTGGGTGCAATCGAGCTGCAGATGCGATTGCTATTGCTATCGGTATCCACCGCCCCCTTTGACTCCGCCCTACAAATGCGTGCTGTGTGAAAATTAGATAGGAAATCAATCAACTGACACTCGGAACACATTTCCCATTTTTTTGTCTTTAAAATCATTGACAAAATACATATCCATATGCTTTTGGCCAATGACCAAGTTATGACACAAATGCCTGACGCATTCCTTATGTGTTGCTCTGCCAAATCGGCAAACTTCTTTGACTGCTTTTGACGGGTTAGCACAGTTCTTGGCAGATGAAATCGATATTTAGCCGTGAGGATAAGAAAGCATGTTTTCCGGTAAGATTTCACAATGAAAACCAAGCCGAAGCTTTCGAAATAATTTCTTTGATATTGATAAATTTGACCTATATAAACCGCCCCTTAGGAACAGCAGAAAGAAAGAAAGGAAAAATTATGACGGTGAAAACATGGATGAATAAATAATGTATAATAAGAAAATATATTCTTTCTAAACATATTTTTTCATGTTTTTCTACTATATACTTTTAGACGCTTTTAAATGTATTGAGAATAAAAGGCGTCAAGAAGCAAGAAGCAAATCTAAATATACAAATCTTTACGGAACTTAAGTTAAGTTTTTTTTATGTTTTAATTTATTCTATATAATAATCCACAAATCTATCCATATTGTTTTAAGGTTAAGTTTGGCTCACGCACAATAACTTTCTCAACATATATCACTTCATTTCGGCATTTCCACTTAACGCCATGTGTTCTGCTTTTATATTTTTCCAAAAAAAAAGCGATCCCCCCACTTAATCGATTTTTGCTGCGTGGGAGATGAAATTAACCAAAAATAATTTTAAAAACAAATCGTTGTTTACTCAGTCCCAGTTTTCTGCTTTCGGACTTTCTTTCACCACCAGCACAACACACAAAATAAAAATATAAAGTAAATTGTATTGGTCTTGTAGTCTGGAGGATATGATTAAAGTTAAAATACACAAAAGTGTAAAGTTAAAATGTGATGATATCGGAGGCTGTCAGTGAACTAAAGTTGAGCCTAAGTCGCACAGCAAAGTCAAGGGCGATAATGTGTGGGTACGATAAGGTGGATGCTAAAATATGGCAAGAAGATGTAATGGAAAAATCCAAAGACAAAAGACAAAAGCGCAGCGAAGACAAAGGAACGCAGAGAGAAAGACAAATATGTAATGAAATAAAAATAGCTGCATAATCAGACAAAAGGGATGCACCACACAGAATGCAGACAGAGGCGTCGATGAAAATCACTAATTGGAAAATGGTTTTCCGCACAGATTGTATTTGCACAGAGGGTACGGTACAGTATAGAGAAAGACAAGAATTGAATTATCCAATGGCTTAAATTAGGCCCCAGCGAGGGGCTTTCGAAAGGTAGTAGAAAAATATAACTGAAAAACGTGAGCTTGCCAAATAGTAGCAGAAATTACTACGCAACAATAAATTACTCGGCCGCAAATTGCTTTAATGGACATGAAAACTAAAACAGAGAAAAGAGAATCGTAATGAAATAATGTGAAATATGAACATGTGTACGTCAATGGACGCAGACACTCGTTTTAGGTACATACAGTATAAAGTCTATATATATACTTATATAAAGAGCTTTTGGAACGGGTAGGAAGAGCTTACTACTGAGCAGCTGATTCATGCCGGTAAAGTATCTCAGCAATGGTGAAACTAGCTTCGAGAACGTTGGCCCATCACAAACGTGATGAGTTGCCCAGTTCGGATTAGTTATGCAATTTACCTTCTTTTCATCTTTATTTTTCGTTCTAGGGTTTTTTTTTCTGTATAAATCATTGTTATTTTCTAAACGATTAAACTCTCTAAAACTATTTAATCGTTTTACTTGATTTTGATGTAAACCTATTTATATATAAAGGTAATTAAACAGTTAAGAGGCTTATAATTTTGATTTACGATTGTATATAAATGTTGTATACATTTTTTTTAGCATTTATAATATATATATAGATATCAACCAAGATCACATTGGTTCTAGAAGAACCTTTAAACAGAAAGAATCTTTTAATAATATGCTTGTTCCATTTAGCGAACGACCCCTGTATTAACCAGTCGCGGCATTCAAATGAGTGTGAATCACGCGCTGACGATCGATTTGCGAAAAAATCTATGAAAACTATGAGAATGCCGGCAAAACGTCGTCTGCTGTTTAGCTGGAGAATGATTAATGCAACGGCCAACAAAAGAGAAATTATAGTCTCAGAAGAGAGGACTCAAAATCATGTCGACGAATCTTCATTCAAGTTATTAAATTTCTCCTCATTGCGATATAAAATTCATTTAATAAGAGAACAAACAAGCAAAAGCCGATGACATCATGAGTAGAGTTGGAGGAAAAAACCACAGAAAAAAAGAGAGCGGCGAATGACTAACGCACAAATAAAATAAAAACAGAGGGGCAGAAGGGAGGAGCTGGCTAAGGGCGTGGGATGCAAGGTGCGCCGCAAGGACACTAAAAACAAACATCAAAATAATACTCAAATGACCACAGTGCAATACAATACTCTAATGACGACAGGAGCACAACAAATTAATTAAAAACATAATAATAACGAGTTTTTAAAGGGGGATCTAAATTAAAAAAAAAAAACTCACCCAATCCGTATTTGTAGAAGATCTCTTCGACAGACACAATCTTGGGCTGTGGTGACGACGATGCAACTGGCACTGGGGCAGCCTTTGGCTTGGGTGGCTCTGGTTTCGGTTCGGGTGCAGGTGCCGGTGCCTTGGACGCCTCTTGGACAGTGGGCTTGAACACCACTTCATCGTCATCCAGGTCGGTTACCAAAGCGGTTGTCACAGGTACAGCCACTGGAACCGGCTGGGGGTTGGCAACTGGAGCCACAGGAGCAGCAACGGGTGCTGGCGCTGGAATGGGTGCAAAAGCCACCGCTGAACGTGGCTCTTCCTTGAAGTCACTAAGCAGATCCTCCGACGAGATAAACTTCTCGTTGTCCTGTTCCTTGAGGGCATCCACAATGGGTTTTTTGGCCGGCGATGGAGTGTACGAGACGGACGGCGATTCGGTGTCTGAATCTTGGTTGGCATTGGTTGGTGGAGCAGCAGTGCTCGGCTGGACCATAATGTCCTCATCCTCATCGTCATCATATAAATTGGTCGTAGACGGTGCCGTGGGCTGGAAGGCCTGGAGTGGTGCTGTTGGGTGGTCACTGAAGCTCCCCAGGAGATCCTCCTCTACTGGTGCAGAAGCCGGAACAGCTGGAGCCACTGGAGCTGGGACAACTGGAGCCACTGGAGCTGGGACAGCAGGAGCTGCAACTGGAGCCTCTGAGAATGGGGCCAGGGGAGCAGAGAAGCCCCTCTCGGCGTTCATGAAGTCCGTAGTCAATCCACTGATGCCCTGCTTGACCTCCTTTCCAGCGTCGCGCAAAAAGTCCTCAAAATCATCCGCCTTCTCGGTAAACTTGGAATCCAATCCCAATTTCGCCTCCTTGGCGGCGGCAGAAATGTGCTGAACGATTTCCTTGGGATCACCAAAGTCCAGGTTCTTCTGCTCATTGGCGAAGTAGTGCTCTGTATGGGCATTGTCGTCCTGTGCGCCACCGCTCACATTACCAGCATCGCCGGCAAGTCCAGAGTCCTCAAAGGCTTTTTGAGCCCTCTGGAAGATATCCTCGTTGGTGGCGGCAGCCTCCTTTTTCAATTCGGCGAAGTTCAGATCCATTTTTAAAATTCGCTCTCTTTTTATATTTTTAGGTTGATCAATTATAAATTTTCACAGTTGTTTGGATATCCTGGCTTACTGATTGGAAGCTCGCACACACACACACAGTTGAGATGTCTCTCTCCGCATACACGATGCACATAAACACACAGGTACCGAGCTACAGCTGATTTCGCCGGTTGGGATGTATATTTCTTCTGGCGATTTCACTAATTTTGGCGAATAAAAAGCCGCAGTTCGTAGTGCGTTTGCTTCGGAAATTTAAAATTGCTTTGAACTACAGCGACTTTTTGCAGGCGCCGTCGATGCAGTCGTTTGAAAAATGTTAATGGACCTGCGCTAGAGCTGGGACTGAAGTCGATAATGTCGATTATTTTTACCTAAATTATTCCTAAAAGACGCCAATAAAAATCCCATTGTTAGCCATGTTATACACCTAGGTTTTCGCTTGTGCTTAATTTAGCCGTGTTATGAACCAAGAAGTTTATTCGTTAGACACATTGGCTATAAAAAGCTAAACATCCTCGATAAATAATTTGAAAATTTTTATATCGCTAAATGCATGGATGGAAAAATGTTTGCTTTATGAAACTTGCACTTTTATGGTTGATAATTTTAAAACCACAATACAAAAACAACAGGACGTTTAAAATCTTCAGTTACTTCTAGGATTTGATTTATTAGCTAAAATTACAACCATTTTCAGGCGGTCCACTTGAGGCATCGGGTATCCTGATGGGTTTTGAGACACTTTACTCGACAGTACCGCGTTCCGCAAGCGGTGCACGAATAAAGTGAGAAGTTGCCGCAAACGGCGCAAAAATGTCGGATGGGCTTCTGAGGAGGCGGAGCCGAGACGGTCTCGTAGTTGGGCCGCTTGTCCTTGTCCTCCTCGAGTAGCTGCTGGAAGTTTTTGCGATACTTGGCCCGGAAATACTCGGCGCCCTTGCGTTTGCTCTTCTTCTCCTTACCGGTCTTTAGATTGTCCTGGAATTTCGGCAACTTCTTTGACATGACCAGGTCAGCGTGGGGGTCATCATGGAAGTTGTCCTGCTCCAGGGCTTCCAAAGCTTTGCGGGCACGTCTTTGGCGCGCTGTGTTATCCAAAACACGCTTTTTTTCAGCATCCTTTATGCGATTGGACTCGCGACCCGTCATGGTTGTTTTTTGTTTTTAGTTATTATATTTTATTTATTTAGGGGATTTTCTAAGCGTCCTTATCGTGTAACGGGAAGCTTATGCGATCCATTAAATCATCCACTCTCGCCTGGAGTACTTCCACAATGTCCGTGGAGATAAACAAATGGTTTTCGTCCAGATCCTGGATAATAAATTTGCGACCAAGAGCCAGTTTTTCGTCCAAGTGCAGCAGGAATTGTTTCATAGCAGGATCACTGGTGGGTACAGTGTAAATAAGGAAATTTAAGCATATATCAGATAACTTACCACTCCACCAGCACTCCTTTCATAACATTTACCATGTTGCAAGCATTTGTTTGCTGAAAATAATAAACAATTTTAATTTGTCTATCTTTTCAGACCTACACGCCGTAACTGCACTCACAGCGAAACGGTAACACAGAGATGGAAGAAAAGAGAATATATCGATGTTTATAAAATGTAATATAAGCTATCTATGCAAAAACTGTTATATACCAAATTGAATCAAATAAATTTGGATTATTTTGGTTTTGTGGAACTGTAGTTACAATATTTTCTTGTTGGTTTCGATAGGCATTAATAAGAAAAGGATTTGAGTTAACTTTTGATAACCATCCCCAAAATATATAAATGGTTTTCAGCCCTATCAGTGGCAGTCACAGTGAAACGAAAACACTAAGAGCGGGGGCATTTGCCAGTCACACTGACAAACACTGAAGCAAAAAGTGTGAGCAAATATTGAATTCCAAAATTCGTTCAAGAAAAATAGGGCCATAAGACGCAATGGAAGCTCTGAACGGAAGGAATATGGCCCTGCTGGTGCTCTGTCTGTGTGCTGTATATGCCCTGGTGGTCGCCGAAGGAGAGAAGGAGATACCGGCCACGAAATTTGGACAGAACATAGCGCCGACAATGACTTTTCTTTACTGGTGAGTTGATGCGGGGTAATTAACATAATAGATAAGTCTGACGTATGTGTCTCTTTCTCTTCCCCTGTGGAATAGCTACTCCTGCGGCTATCGCAAGGCCTTCGAGGACTATGTGGGCTTGCTGGGCGAGAAGTATCCTCAGATCCAAGTCCACGGCGGCAATTACGATCCGCCGGGTCTGAACTATTATCTCTCGAAATTGATATTTGCTTTAAAGATCGTCATTATTGTGTCAGTGGTCAGTGCGGTCAGTCCGTTTACATTCCTCGGACTGAATACGCCCAGTTGGTGGAGTCACTTGCAGGCAAACAAAATATACGCCTGCATGATGATATTCTTTCTGGGCAACATGCTTGAGGGGCAGTTTATCTCATCCGGTGCCTTTGAAATAACCCTTAACGATGTGCCCGTTTGGTCGAAACTACAGACGGGACGCTTTCCTTCGCCGGAAGTCCTTTTCCAGATCATCGACAATCATCTGCAGTTTACTGAAAAAGTGCAGGAGAACCCGGATTTTGTTAAATAATAGCAGCAGGCGGATCGGAAGGCAAGGCGGGAACAGCAGTCGGAAAACACCAAAACAGCCGCGGAAGAGGATTCCCGGCGCTGAACCTATCTTAAACTTAAGCTTCTGTTCTGATATGACCTACTTAGCTGTATCTATGTTTCCACCCCAACTTTAGCCTACTGTACGCCACCTGTATCATTGTATTCGATAAGAAACCGGACAGATAAACTGGGGTACATCGCGAGATTACATGCTTGGCTCTATAAAGATGTACCCAGTCTATAGCCTTTACGGGATTACTTGTTAGTGGGGGAGCAATTAATTATAAATGGATATGTGAAACTTTTTTCAAATTGTAATAAAAATAAATTCGCTCGACAGTTTCAAAATTAAAATATTTTTCATTTGATAGCTATACTTTTAGTCCAATTAATGATTAAATGTTTTAATTAACATTATTAGATAATTGAAATCAAACAAAATTTCGTGTGCATTGGTTTTATGTGTTGTAAATTTTATTTATTAAAAAACTGGGTTTTGTTTTTGGTTTTGTTAAGTTTACAATAATCCCAACAGAGGCAAAAGATTTACTTTCGTTGCAGTGCAGGCAGTGGTTACTTTTCTCTTCCCTATTGTATTCATTTTTGGTATGTGCTATATCAAGTTTAGGTGTCCACGTAATTGGATTACATCTCCACGGAAAATGGCACTGTTCGGTGTTTTGTGTTTGCTTGTTTCATATGGGAACTAGGGGTTTGGGGTTGTTTTTGGATTTGGATCGTTATCGTTATCGTTGGTTGGATAGCAATAGACTTAAGACAAAAATTTAACTTCTACTTAGTATGAACTGCAATCTAGGGGGCGATGGTGTCCTCACGAGGGCGTCTGTTGTACGGGCGTGTGTTGCCTCCATTACGAGCGTACTCGTTGTAGGTCTGCAGATTGCTCGGACGACGTCCCTGCTGGTATCTTCCATTCAAATAGTTGGCTGGAGCTTCAGCAGTTGAGTACGGCTGTCGTCGTGGATCGTTGGTGCGGGCAACCGAAGGGTAATTTACAGGATTGCGTGGATCTGAGCTCCAGCTAGAGCTAGAGGACCAGCCAGCGTTTGATCCGGGATGGGATCCTGCATTTGAGCCGGTAGACCAACCAGCATTTGAGCCAGGATATCCTCTTGCATTGGAGCCCGAAGACCACGCAGCGTTAGATCCCGGGTTGGAACCAGAAACGGATCCGGAAGACCAGCTAGATCTTCGGATTGGAGCCTGCAGCGGAACCGGAAGACCAGCTAGATCTCGAATTGGATCCTGGAACGGAGCCGGAAGTCCAGCTAGACCCAGAATTGGGTCTCGATTGACCGCCAGCGTTCCAGCCTGCTCCAGCATTGGATTGCGAGCCAGGCCTTGAAGCGCTGTTAGCTGACCAACCAGCCCTGTAGTTAAAGCTCGTATCCGAATCAGATTCATCAGAGCCTGCTGACGATCCCGAAGACCATGAGGATGCCGTATTACGGGGAACAAAGGTGTTACCACGTCGACGACAAACCGTGCACCTGTTAAAAATGGCAAGTTAAGTTTACCATTTGTCTAGAATATTTTTACCTAGCTTGACCCACCTGCTGACTTTGCTGGTTAAATCTGCTTTAAGCGTCTGCTGGCGTGGCTGCACAAATTGATCTTGCTCTTCGATTACGGATAACCAGAAGGAGGCTAACGCATCGTAGTAGTTGCAGCGTCCGTGACCATGGCACTCGATCACCGGCTGGGCGCGGAACTCCTCCAGACAGGAGCCCGGGGAGACGAGACTCTGTCCAACGCCTCCAACGTTGTCCAGGGTGGTCTACAAATGGAGTTATGCAAGACGGGTTAGGCAAGAAATATAGAAAAAGAAGAAACAAGGTATGTATATATGTAAATATATATTATAACCTACCATAAAGTAACTGTAGCCGGTCCACATCTCCTCCCAGCCACCAGGGCATTCTGGAATGGACATGGATTGCGAGTGTAGGGCAATGATCCTGGTCGTGGTCTCGCACACAACGCAACTGAGGAAAAACAATGATAATTGTTGGGGGTGTCGAATAATTTCAGAAAACTGTTAGGTATTCCTTACCGTGAAATGTACTTAATGAGGTCTCTGCCCTGGATGGGAGTCATGGTCATGGGCATGGGCTCGGCTGTGGACAGCCACAGACTGTCGTCATTGTTCTGGGCAAAGTGGCACACGTTCGTCACATCACACAACATGTACGGCATGGTGGTGAAACGCATTAAGCAAGATCCGGACTGACCAAGATCCTGACCAACCGCTCTGCTGGCGGCCACATTGCCAGACAAGGAGTAACCCTCCCACAACAGATTCGTGTTGGCCGGACACTGAGGAACCTGAACTGACTGCGAGTGCCTGGCAAAAATGAATCCACGGCTCTTGGGCGCTGGTGGTGCTGGTGCTGGGTCACCCTGTGGTCCAGGAAGACCACGGAGTCCAGGAGCTCCGGTCAAACCAATTTCACCTTTGTCACCACGTTGTCCCTGAGGTCCGTCAGCTCCAGTGTAGCCTACTTCACCTTGGTCACCGCGATATCCGGCAAACCCTCTCTGTCCTTGGAATCCTTCAAATCCTGGTTGTCCGGGTTCGCCCTCCTCACCCTTGAACCCATTAATTCCAGGCTCACCGCGATCTCCTTGACGGGCTGCCGAGTACGGATAGGTCACACCCGGCTGACCCTTTGGGCCAACGAGTCCATCCATGCCATCAATACCGCTCCAGCCTACGTCGCCAGTGGGTCCCCGTGGACCCCGAGCTCCCACTCGGCCATTTTGACCCGGGATTCCAGGATATCCTTGCTCACCCTTTTGACCATTCCAGCCTTGGGCACCTTGGTAGCCGATATCTCCGATGTCGCCCTGTCTGCCAACTATGGCATATCCAGATTCACCCTGTAAGCCCTGTCGGCCCTATGTCTCCCTGCTCTCCCTTTGGTCCAATTAGGCCATGTCGACCACTGTGTCCACGCGCTCCGGGATATCCAGTATCTCCCTGTGGACCGGGCGGGCCCACGATCTCTGCTCCTCTGTGTCCAATAGCACCGTTTGCACCATTTTCTCCTGGTGGTCCTGGCGCTCCCTTTTGTCCAGCATATCCGCGACGACCTGCTCGTCCATCTAACCCAGCATCGCCTTGGTCGCCTTGCTCGGATTTCAGTGCTACTCCGGGGAAGCCTTGAGGTCCTTGGTCGCCTTGTTGGCCCTTTAATCCAGGCACTCCATCGAAACCCAACTCTCCTGCGTAGCCAATCTCGCCCTGTTCTCCCTTGGCGCCTACAGCTCCGATGTAGCCAATTGGTCCGACATCACCTGTGGCGCCTCGTTCACCCTGGATTCCTCGATCACCGGTAAAGCCGCGATAAACGTGACGTTCCTCCAGATTCAGCACGCGACCTGGATAACCCACTTCACCTTCGTCTCCTTGGGCACCCTGATCTCCTTGCACACCAACGAATCCTCTAGGCCCTTGATCACCAGCCTCTCCAGTCAGTCCATCGACGCCATCAACTCCTCTCTCACCCTGTGGACCTTTGGGTCCTTCGGGTCCAATTTCGCCAGTGTTGCCTTTACGACCCTGAGCTCCATTGCGTCCACGATAGCCGTCTAATCCCTGATCTCCAGCCTCACCTTTCAGACCTTGTGCACCGGCGAGACCTCGATCACCACGCTGACCCTTTAGTCCATAACGGCCATGAATTCCATCGAGTCCAGGATTTCCCACTTCTCCCTTTTGGCCAGCAGCTCCGTCAAATGCCACTGGTGAATCGCCAGTGGGTCCACGCTGCCCCTTCTGTCCGCGGGCTCCAGTATAGCCGATTGGTCCAGTCAAGCCGGATTCACCGTTTTCACCTTTAATGCCACTGTAGGCAGCCACGCCCTTAAGACCTGGTCGTCCCGTGAATCCAATATCTCCAGATTCGCCCTTGCGCCCTGGAGTACCATTAGCTCCGGGATAGCCGTCAGGCCCATTTTCACCAGAGAGACCTATGTGTAAGAATACGGCATCGTAGGTAATTTAATTGGTTCTTTGACATGATTTGGCTTTAAGTAGAAGAGAGATAAAAAGTCCACCTACCTTTGGGTCCGAAATCTCCTGTGGGACCACGAGGACCTATGTCACCTTGCCGTCCATTTTGGCCAATTTCACCACGTTCTCCGATCTCGCCGACCATGCCAGGAAGTCCAGAGATGCCAGGGCCACCAGGAAGGCCTTGCCGACCTGGACTGCCAAGGAGTCCACGGCGACCAGAGTAGCCGATGTTACCCTTGGCTCCGTTTTGTCCATTCTGTCCCAGCCAACCCTCCTCACCCTTTTGGCCCTTTATGCCGTGCGGAGCCTGACGTCCATTTCGGCCAGGCTCACCCTTAGGTCCGATCGGACCAAATCGGTAGTCGCCGCGTTGACCCTTATTACCGGGCAGGCCTGTTAGTCCAATATTTCCAACGGGTCCTATCTCGCCCTTCACTCCCTTAGGTCCTGGACGTCCAGATGGTCCGTACTGGCCTACGCTGCCAACATCACCGGGAAGGCCCTTAATACCAGGTTGACCAGGGCTACCTATTTCACCCGGGAGCACCTCTTGACCTGGTATACCTCGTTGTCCCTTGTATCCGACGTTGCCATCCACACCCGGCTCACCATCCAAGCCGGGTAGACCGGGTGCTCCTTGGGGCCCGTAATCGCCTGTCTGGCCAGGATAACCCTTGGCACCGATAGCTCCGGGAAAAGATTTGCCGGCTGGTCCCCGGTCACCAGTTTCGCCGGGAAGTCCGATATCTCCGCGCGGACCTTTAAGTCCCTTTTCACCGGGCAGACCAGGGTAACCTTTGTCGCCACGATCTCCTAAGTTGTTAAAGATTTCACCTGGTTTCGGCTCACCCTTGACACCCTTAAATCCTTTAACTCCGTGATCACCGCGTTCTCCTTTACGACCGTTGTAGCCCCGCTCACCAATTAAGTAAAATTTGGATTGGGCGGATGCATTTTTTCCGGGGGCGCCATCTCGTCCATCGCGTCCTGCTATACCATCGCGTCCCGGGATACCGGCATCGCCGTACTCTCCACGCTGGCCAGTCTCACCACGTGCACCTTGAATACCGTCGTAACCATCTTGTCCTTGGTCACCCTCCAACCCCTGCTCTCCACGACGTCCGTTGTCGCCATCATCACCTTGCTCTCCCTTTACTTGGGCACCGACTACATGCACTATTCCTTTTGGGCCGGGTGCTCCAACTTTACCTTGTTCGCCGGGAATACCTGGATTTCCTGGCAGACCTTTATGGCCTGCCCTACCCGGAAAGCCTTGCAATCCTCTATCGCCACGTGGTCCTGTTAGGCCGTTAGCTCCACGGTTACCGAAACTTCCAGGATATCCAGTGTCACCCTCCTGGCCACGAGGTCCACGGGGCCCAGCATTACAGACCGGGCAGTCGTCGCCGCGCAATCCCTTGTCACCGGGCAGACCACGTAATCCATTTCTACCATCGTCACCAGGACGTCCGCGGAATCCGGGAGGTCCCTGGGATCCAGGAGGACCAACGATGTTGAAACCCTCGCCGGGCAAACCTTTGTCACCGGGCAATCCGACTTCTCCGCGATCACCTCGATAACCATCCTTGCCGGGAATTCCATTAAGACCAGGTTCGCCCTTGGGTCCAATCAAATTTTCACCAGGCTCGCCATGTAGTCCATATCGGCCAGGAAGACCAGCTTCACCGGGAGGACCCTGGGGTCCTGGGGGGCCAATGAATCCGTAGTCACCGGGCTCACCGCGTTCACTGCGCCCGGGCGGGCCTCGATTGCCGCTCAATCCAGGCTCACCTGACAGTCCAGCGGGACCGAAGGGTCCGCGACGTCCTGGCTTGCCGGGCAAACCTGATGGACCAAGTTCTCCTGGTGCTCCAATGTCTCCTTGTGATCCTATGGGTCCCGGCAGCGACTGACTTAGACTCGGATCGTAAATTCCAGGGGGGCCAGGAGGTCCTTGAATTCCAGGAGTACCAGCAAAACCATCTTCACCCCGTTCTCCTGGGGTTCCTTCTAATCCATCAGCTCCAGTCCATCCTGGTGCACCTTTCACGCCCTTGTCTCCATACCTGCCGGGCTCTCCATCCTTTCCGGGCTTGCCACGCTCGCCGGGCCCTCCGATCTCGCCTCTTGCTCCAGGAAGACCATTACGACCGGTGGCACCTTGTTCGCCAGTCGGTCCATCTGGTCCCTGGTCACCCTGAGGACCAACGAATCCTTTGAAGCCCTTCAAGGAAACATCTTTTTTTTGGGCCTCTGTAAAGCTACTGCCAGATTCACCCTTCTCACCGGGAGGACCTATCAAGGAATACGGAAGCTCCGATACCGCTCCAGTGTCACCCGCTGGTCCTTTGAATCCGGGGTCTCCCTTCTCACCGGTCTGGCCAGCGTATCCAGTGTCACCCTTAGCACCGCGTTCACCATCAAATCCAGGCGGGCCCTGGCTACCAGGCAGTCCGCTCTCGCCCCGATTACCTTTGGTACCCTTGGAGTTGATGCCGCCCTCGCCTGCTTCTCCGGGAGGACCCTGTTGACCAGACTTTCCTGGCGGGCCTCGCGGTCCATTAGAGCCAGGATCTCCGCCTTTTCCCTGCGCCCCAGGCCTTCCGTCGCAGCCATCTATTCCCCGGGGTCCTTGTGTTCCCGGCTCGCCGGTTTTACCCTAAATGGACATCCAAATTGCAGGATTAACTGATCCTTCAGTATCTATTTAATTATTATATTAACTTACCATAATTCCAGGGTATCCAGTTTCGCCTCTAAGTCCAATCTCACCCTAAACAAGAACTTGTTAATCGGAAAACATAATTTTGGTAAAGTTAAAAATATAATATCTTACGCGATGTCCTTTCTCGCCTTGTTCGCCGTATTCGCCAACATCTCCTTTCTCTCCGATTGGTCCTGCCCGTCCAAATGGTCCTACTTCTCCGGCAGGACCTTCCAAACCGGGAACTCCAATGGGTCCTGGGGCACCGGCTCGTCCCTTTATGCCCTTGCAGTCACATATCGTTGTGTTACATATCTGCAATGTGGCATAAACATTTATCAGTCAGTCGGGGAAGATTACTAATCGAATTTGTATACAATAGGAAACCAGGGAGGAGTACGTATGTATATATATAACTGGTCTTCATTGCCCCTGATTGGAACTCTCATTTAGGTAATCGAAGATGTCAGAATAAATTCGTTTTATATTCTAAATGCCAGTCTGTTCCATATACTGATGGAAAGTTCTAGGAAACAGCTTAAAGTTTGCCTTTAAGGCATGTTCTTATAAATTTAAGTCAGAATTTGTAAATTTGTCTTTAAACAAGTTGGTTGTAGCGTGATTAATTGGGTAATGTAACTACCTAGACATATACCTGCATTTCAGTTAGAAATTTAGGTCTCAGCTTAAGCTTAAAAGTTATATATGTAAATTAGTTAATAGGCTGATTTTTTATCAATTTAAAAACTCATAGTCAAATAATCGATTAAATGCTCATCTTAAGAAAATGACCTTCGATTCATGGGTCTTATGGTTGGCAGTTGTATGTTATAATTTTCCTTAAGAAAGCAAACCTCGACCCGCGCCTTAGCCAGAAAATCAACAATAATAAGTAGAGCTGCAACATTTTTCAGCTGCAGTTCGCAGCTTTAATTGCACAGTTTCCGTTTGCAATGAGATAATCTTCTATATGGGTACGTTTACTTTTGCCCAGTCAATTGAGCGAGTGCATAGAACACGCTCACTGAAGTTGAAAAAATGGAAAAGTGAAAATGGGAAAATGTGAGAGTGTGAGGAAGGGTAAAGGGGTAAACTTTTGCTGGATAGCTTTGGAGTGGGAGCGCTCCGCAGGCAGCGCATTTTTAACCCATTTAATGTGCATTTATTTATAAACAACAACAAGTGCAATTCGGTAAAAAGCCATTATCTGGAATATTTCAAATTATGAAATCACTTTGAAATCCATTTTTGAGGTAGGCTAAAGTTAAAGAAGAACACCTTTGTATATTACGTGTATTTATTGGCACATTTCTTGTGGCTTCCTCATTGATGTCAGCATAAACATCCTTAGTTTTCTACGTATTTATAGAATTGACATAATTTCATGTTGGTTAAATGTCCGAATTTATAGCCGCCTTCATTAAATGGAATTTCAGTGCTCGTTCAAGTTTTTCACTGACAGTTCCTCCAAAAAACAATTTAAGAATACAAAAACAAAAAGAAACTGCACACATGTTGCACGCATGTGTCGAGATTCTTTGCTTAAAATCTTAAAATCATTTTTTTTTATTTTGCATATGATATTTATGTTTAATTGTTTGCTGGCTGGAAAAATTAGTGTCAAATGTTTGGCAAATTCTGTTTTGGATTAACAAACAACACCTCCGATGACTAATGGAGAAGATGCAAGCGACTTCGCCAGAGTTCAAAGCCCCGGTACACATCCTCCCCAGATGAGTTCCCAGAAGTGAATCTGCTCGCAGGAGATCAAACCATCTGTTAACTAAATATTCACATCACCAAATCCCGAAACGAGAACGTTAAAGGTAAACAAGAACTGAAAGCTGAAAACTAGAAAAAATAAAATAAGACTTTTCGATGCGGTGAACCAAAAGATGTTGTGGTTCTGTTGCTTGTTTTTCAATTCTTTCAATTTTCTTCATCGCTGGCGAGCAAGTGAAAAATCCGAGAAAATGCAGATACTAAAATAAAATCTTAGACCGCCAGAGTACGGGGGTGCAGGTGCACAGATGCAATTGCACTCGATTTCTGGAAATTAGAAGCCAACAACTGTGAGAAACATCCAATGGCTGAAATCGTGCAATGATTGGACTTATAAAATTTCATTCCCAATCCAAATCAATGGGAAATTTCGATCAGTTCTTGGCTTCATTCAAGTCTTTCGTTTCACATCACACATTCTTTCAATCGAAATTTCTGAATAAGAAACCCAAAAATATCCAAAAGGAGACACCATCGAATTTCTTTCAATCAATTGCCAAATCTGAAACTTAAGGAATTCTTATCGGATAACATAAAAATATTATATATGTGAAGAAAGATATATATATATTTATATGTAAGTCAAACTGTGGAAATTGTTGCGGTAACACGTTCAAAAGTGACAGCACTGCAATTTCCTTGAACTTGACACTGGGCAAGGCAATATCTGTGTCGACTGCACATATGCTATATATATATGTATAAATATATATGCTATATACCCCGTCCATATATGGGCCACTTTTATTTGATTTTTTTGGATGGCACCACAGCCAGACAGAAAACGCACCACTAAGTGGCGTCGTCGTCGTCGTCGAGGGGAGAAGCCACTCGAATTTGGGGTAACGGGTGATCTGGCTATTCCGATGGCTGTTGCACTGTGCTTCTTTCACATACAAATAGCACTTGATTCCGCCGATGTCAGCAAAGGAGGCAGTGAGTCGGGTCGGGAATATATATGGCTGGGAATATTCACAAAATTAATAATCAAATTCCTGAATGGGCACGCGTGTCTGGAGGTTCAGCAGGTGTTGGGTATCCTCTTTATCAGGCAAACAGACAGAGGGACTTTAGTTACTTTTGTTTGTTAAATAGGTTTAGCTAGTTAAGCTAGTAAAAAATTCATTTTTAAATCTTTTTATAAAAAAGTTTTGGAGAATAAATTATAAAAGTGTAAGCTAGGATAGTTTAATCCTATTATCAGGGTATCCTTTCTTGTTAAAATTCTATCTGTTGCTCCACTGTAAGTGTAACTGTTAGTGCTAAGCGAAAGTCAGACCAAATCGGTGGACTATATACATCTATATGCCGACGTTCAGATGCGATTGTATGTCAGTGGCGCGCACTTAAGCGCATTTCAACATGTTAAAGCCAATTGTCCCAGTTGCCGATATTCTATCCCGTTCCCTCGTGCATCCAAGCCGAATGCATAGTTTAAGGTCAAAGAGAGGCCTCCACACACGGATCCAAAACCGAGATGTTATATCTGGCATATATCTGGCGCGACAATTGGGCACACCCACCCACGCTAATCGTTTGCCGGGCGGAAAGATTTATACTACATATGTATGTACATATAAATAATGAGCGGGGCATTCTTTGTTTAAGTGTTATGCATCTGGAAAAGCAAGTTTATTGGCCCGACACGTTCTGAATTTCTCGGCTCTGGGGTCCTGAGTATCTAATGACAATCCTCGGGTGCTAACTTTTCGTCTTTCCGTTGAAATGTAAGCGATACTGCCTAAAACTTTGACGATCATTTCGACGGACTGCAATTATTCAGGGAATGCAAAGCGCAGCGAAATGTCTTAAAAAGAGACAGAAACATTCGCTGGTGAGAGAGATAGCCAGAGAGTAAGCTGGGAGAGAAGCGTCTGGTAATCTTAGGTTTTCAAAGTTTGTGGCCTGGTCCGCCCGGATGTGGCATACAAAAAAAATAATTATAATTATCAGAATGTCACATATAAATCACAGCTGATAAGGCTAAGAGAACGGCATTAATTAAAACATTTAAATTTGGCATTAAATTATATTTCTTATATTATATATATGTATGTATATACTTATAATCCAAGAGGCGGTGGACAAAGGGGTTATCTGTCGCAGACACTGAAGCATCAATGAGAGTTCTTTGTTGCCAAGGGACAGCAAGAAAAGGAAGAGATGGTCTTATAACAAAAAGATCTTTTAAATAAAAAACACTTGACTATTTCATATATATCAATATATATAATTTTAGTCTACGTTTGAACTATTGCGATCGGGATATTTACTAAGTCTTACAGAGATAGACTTCTTGAGAATCCTTTTGTGCGTCATAAATGACCCAATTTTTCAAGTCAGTCAACACGCGCCATCAATCAACCGCATTTTCATTTTCATATTTATACATACAAACTTTATGGAGTGGGAATTTTGCACCAGTAGCAATAACAACAACAAATCTGTTGTTAAATGTGCATCATAAACGTTTAGAAAACTACATGCAACAATGGAAGGCACGGATACAAAGTGTTGTATCAGACCCAGAAGTGCTTACTAAAATTTATAACAATAAAGATATATGTTTGAGTAGTAAATATTGATGCACTTAAAAAGAGAATAGTTAAATATAATAACTAATAAACAAAATAATTACTATCTCATACAAAAAATGTTAATAGTTGTAGCCCAAAGACTAAGTTATAGTCAATAAATGACTTCAAACAATTCGTACTGATTCACATCCCATAAAAGTATTTCATTGACTAACTAACCTAGTTGCGATTACAAAAGTAGATATTGTGTGTCATTTGGCACACAAAACCCCCCATTTTGGATCCCAACTATAGGGTAGCATTATAAAAATCGTATATGGGCCAACATATGAGCAGCGTGTGATTGACATGAAAATGCTAGGCCCCCACACCCACTCACACTCACATTCATACGGAGCATAACATAATGGATGCACATCTGGACGGGCGCACTTGCAGCATGACATCATTTTGCTCCGGCTTGACATCATAACATATAGAAAAAGATGCAGGGAAATCTGCACTGCCACTGGCACATGGAGAACACCCACGCACTCCGTAAGCTTGCAAAAAAAAAGATGAAGATGTAGAAAACTAAGGCTGTTGGGCCTATTTAAGTGCCCGGTTACGGCATCATCGCACATAATTGTTTGGACACAAGCCTGACAGATGATAACTAATTGCCGTGCACTCAAATTAACATTGAAATTGATGGACAGCGGGCTGTCACAACTGAATATTCGCAACGATCGTCAATAAAGTGGCGATAAGGAAGCGCCAAATGATTGAATTTTTCCAGAGAACTGCACCTGTCCAAGAAACTGTGTTCTAAACTGATCTTTCATTGACTTCTTTTTCACGTAACAGATCCCAAGAAGTTTTTTATTTTAAAGGATATTATTATGTTTCATCTTTAACTTTATCTGTACCTTCTTTGCACTAAAAAATCATTATTTTAACGTTCAGTTTTTCCTTTAAAGTATCACTCAATTAAAAGTCACCCAGTTATAGATCGTTTTAAAATCATTTAGCCATTGGTCAACCATTTCAATTTCCTGCAAATAATTCAGACAATCAAAACTCTAGAAAGTTAACCAAGCAAATTAAAATGAATTTATTTTTAGCCATGACGCTAGATGTTTGCTGTCTGAAATGGAATCTCAGCAACGGGCACATCATACATTGTACGACTATATGCCATATAGTGTCTAAATATATGTATAGAATTTCAGATGCTCTGATGAATATCAATTTCATAAGCCAGTCCGTGCTGATAAGGCGGGAAGAAAAGGAGAACAACGAGCTGCAGTTATGAGACAGATGACTGATAACCCAATTTCATGAGCTTCTTCAACACTGGCTCTCATAAATAATCGTTTCAATTTACGAAATTCATTATACAGGCGGCTACTAAGTGGCCCCTCCCCATATCACTTATACGACATGCTGTCCATATCGTACACTCACACACACACACAGAGTTCGCATAATTTCCGCATTCAGTTGCAGATAAATAAATAATTGAGTCAAATTGAAATGCAACTCGCCAAACAATTCTACTCAAGCACGCAAATAAACTTCCACAAGGAGTCCAACAATGTGATGATGATCATTGTTGTCCGAGCCGAGCAGTTGCTTCTCTTGGGCGGTCTCCAGTTGGATCCCCATTTCGATCCCCATTTGGCCCCGCTCTGTCTGGCCGGCGGTGGTCAGTGATTTATGCCGTCATCGGGTCAGTTCAGACCGGGATCGTGTATAAACAAATTCTCAAAGAAATCGAAACTGAATAGCAAAAAAAGGATGCACTCCCACAAATAGGTTAAATAAGTTAATATTTTTTTTTAATTCTTATTTGTTAAAAAGTAAAGAAATATTCCTTAAATTTTATTTGAAAATTTAGTCTGCTATGTTTTAGTTTCTTTGAAAAAATTAGAATTTGTCGTGACATATTTTCTACATTACTAAATTGTTTTTCAAAGTGCACGTATGGAGTTTCTAAGACTTTGAACTGCATAAGCAGCCGCCACAGAAGCAACAAACAAACCACCAAGAACTTTCAATTCCAATTTGAAATGGTGCAGAACGTCAAAAGATTGCCGCCTACCCTTGCAGCCCCTTCTCCGGAATCCCATCATTCCAGTGATTCCCTAAGAGAACCCTTCACCGATCACTTGAGCTGCTAATTGTCGGAATCGAACGGCAGTTCTTTATACATATATATTTATAGCATAGCAAGTGCAGGAGAGAACAAAAAGGGGAAAGAGTGGGGGAGTGGGAGGAGCTACTGATAAAGGCCATTTATCAAAATTCATTCATGGAATGGAAAGCCTCAGTTGCATTCGTTGAGTTCAACTCTCTCTCTCGCTCTATCGTTCTCTCTTTGTTTGAAGCTGCTCTTAAATGAACGACTCTCTTTCTATTTTGCACAACGGAAAAGGAAATCATTTGTTCGGTTAATGTAGCGTCGAACTAGTTGCAAAACCCATTTTCAAAACAGTTTTAAGGCTACTGGTTGACAACAGTTAACTGGTTAAAAAGGTTTCTAATTTTCCTTAAACATGATGAATACTCTTTAAAATGGTATAAATTGTTCATGATCTTATAAAACAATTTAAACAATTTGACTTCAAACTAGGCAATAATAATTTTAGAAAACGTATTATTATTATAAATATTCTAATCTTAGCTGCTTAGAAAAATATAATTTATAATGTAAATTACATACAATGTTGCAAAAGTCTTAGATAGATCCCAGTTGTATTTGTAAACTAATCAATCAAAGGAAGTATGAATAAGTAATTACTAATCGTCATTTTTATGATTTAATTCAAGTATTGAAAAAAGAAAACCTAGCTGATAATGCATTAAAATGATTTCCTTATGAGCTATGTAAATAATGAAAAAATATATGTAGTTCCCTTAAAATGTACGTTTCGACTTAATTTTCTTATCGCTAAGCTTTTTGAAAATTATTGTGGTATCATAAAAAAAAACGTTGATATTATATCTACAATCAAATCAACTCCAATTAAAAATATTAATAATTTTTTCAAATAATTGTATATATCTTAGAACCCCACTTCGTAAAAGAGTAACTCGAACAACGGTAGCAAAACGAAGTCAAGTTTTTCAGCGCTTTGCGGTTAGTCTTCCAGCTGCAACCCACAAGACCTGGAAGCTCTCACTTGGAATCGGTGAGTTAGGGTCCCATGGCCCATGGCATTGACCACGTAACCGAGTGCGAAAAGAGCTGGGAATCAAATTACCAAAGTCGTCAAACGAGCTGCACACTTATGATGCCAAACACGTGAGCGCTGAGGACAGATCTAAACGAATCCGAGTGCAAAATCCTATACAGAAAATTATGGAAATCACTATTAAACGATGCCGGGGTAAAGGCAAAAAGTCAGGCCAAACCGATAGCCTCTGGACCAGCTGCTGGCGACACTTGCTTTAGTTCTATTTATTTCTAAATTCGAGTCTAGGAATCCATGTCGCAATCAGCGGAACATGCTATCAATGGCGTCAATGCCGCCAACATAGCAATAGGTCTAATTAAATGTCCAGTCGCAGCCTGATAAGCACCGAATGCCATCAAAAACTAGGTGCCGCCGGCATGTGCTCCATTTTTCATCCAAGCTTACGAAATCTCTTCTTTCCAAAATTCCATCACACCATCCCGTTGACCAGAAAGCCATTTAAATATAAGAAATTTGGTAGCCGACCAGTTCTTAAAGAAAATGGTGCATAGTTTTTGGGGCACCATGCTTGCTTGGTACTCAAATCAGGAAATGATTGGAATACTTTAAAGATAACATTTGTTTTTAAATTCAAATAATAACTAACATAACCAATTATCAACAAGAACCCTACATGTCATTGTCTTTTTTTAGAAATGGGTACAAAACGTTTTATTTTTGAGCTTTCTAATCTAAATCGTGCCCCATTTAGACAATGATTATAAACTAATTTTTGAATCTTAATCGCCAGCCGGAAACGTTCAATGGCGAATCCTAATAGGTATGCCAAAAAAACTGTCGAGTCCTCTAAATTGAAAGATTAGAGGGTTATCAATCGGCATTATCGCCAACCTTTTCACCTACTACATTAGGTTGCCAAAATAATTTAATGACATAATCCGTCCCTGGTGGCCGCTGGACTCTATTGAACCCCCGGAATCGGGAACGGACTTGCGGGATTATCTCTTGAAGTCAAAGAGTTTCCATGCCGGAAGTGTGAATGAATCAAAGAGTGCAATACTGCAGAATAACAATAACAATAGCTGCGATGATTAAGAGCCGAGCTGGGAGCTGACCTAATTTTAGTTGTTTATGGTTGATACCAAATGCAAGCCAAATCAATGCAGGCAGTTTGAAAACCATTGGGTTATTAATTTATATTCTTTTAATATATTTTTATTAAATATGTATAGTAGACAAAAATTTATGAAGTAATTTCTAACAAAATTGCTTGACACAGTTTGAGAAGCACTATAAATTATTCAACTGTAATGCGCAAAACTGTATATAGTTTGAGAAGCACTTTTAAGTAAAGCACTTTCACTAAATATTTTGAAATCATAATCAATATATTGATTTGGTGATTTTAAATTTAATTTTAAATTATTTAAAAATTTAATGAATTTTTTTAAGTTTTCTACAAAAGATCTAAAACTTTAAAAAGGTTTAGGGTTTATTTACCCTTTATTTATTTTTTACTTGTATTTATATTGCTAAAGGATTAAAACAGCTTAGTTCAAGCCCATAGTTTGAACTTACCTTATCTGCCAAGGTCACAGAAACAAGGCTGCCAAATAGATAAACGGCGCTTAGCAGACCCAAGAGATGCCTTAGATCTCTGGGTAACATCTTCGGTGGGTCCTTTCGTCCTATCCGCAATATAATTATGTCTCACTCTGGCGAACTTTATATCTATCTGCCTCTTTCTCTTTCTCTGTCGCCTAAAACACACACGAAACTGCCAACGAAATAAACATAAAGTTAGAATTGTTAAGAATTTTCGATTTTTAAAATCTTCTTTAAAAAACCGACATAAGCGATTGTAAATATATTAAAGAATTGAATTTTCGGAAAAGTGAGGAAAACTAACAGAAAACGCTGATTTGCTGCTGCTGCGATCGTCGGGCACAGCACTCTCCCCACATGTGGAGATCGTCAAGCGTTCGAAGTATTACTAAACACGAGCCCCGCCAAAGCGATTCGAATTCTTCGTCCGACTTCGGTCGGCGCGATCATCGGCACTCGGAAAAGTTCGGGCGTGGGTTCGGCTTTTGGCCACCAATACCACGGCAAATTGGAGCTATCGTGGTGTGTGTGCAGTTGATGGAACCGTTGAGCCGTATTTGTAGTCTAAGCAGCAGGCACAGGCCAGGGACAGGCCCGGATGGGTGTAGGTTTCGATGTAGATGTGGCTTTGGCTATATGGTATGCCTCTGAATTTAGCACTTTAGCGCCTTGAAACGAGGAAATGAGGAGCAGAGCCCGCTAACCCAATCAAAGTAGCCCGATTTTAAGCATTAATATTCTATTTCCCATTCCCGTACTGTGTTTCTTACAAAGGGTATATCTATTTTCAACTTTACTTAACAATAAAACAATATCAATAGCAACTTATTTTTCACTAAAAAATTAAACATTTATTTACTTTATGGATAACATAAAACAGGTTTTTACTGCCAATTATCTTACTCAGTTCAGATCAATAAACACTTTATGAATTATGACTGCCTTGTTGGTACCATTATGCTTTTGAATAACCCATATACCAGGTATAATCTAGTCCTAATACTCAACTGCAGCTTTTCTAGTGGTCCCAATATATGTCGATGCTAGTTCGTTTGTCGCAGTTCTCGTGATTAGGTTAAGGCTTTTTCATTTAGTATATGCCATATATGATGCTGATAAGACGGATATGGCTGACTATTTCCTGTTAGAATTACTATTCAACTTAACATGAACGAACAAGTTGTACGTGCTGAGCTTTCCATAAATTTCAAAGCAGAAGCACCAAAATAGAACCTTTCGAAATACGAGATAGGTTTTAGGTTTTGAGGTCAGAGCATTTTGAAATATAACTTGATAACCCGACAATCAGGGCCTTGTTCTAATTGGGAAAGAGTTCTTTTGTCCTAGGGTATGTGAAAGTCGGATATGACCCAATGGCCTAAATAGATCTCCTTTCGGAAGCTGCAGGAAATGCAGAGGCGCAATGTTTGTTAGCTCTGCATTTATCGGAAGTGTTCTACTTCTATGAACTCAAAGATATTTTTTTAACAAAAAGTATATGTGAAAAAGAAAATATTATTTTTTTTATTTAAAATTGGAAAGTATAAATATATTTATTAAAAAAAAATATATATCTATGATACTATGAAACTATAATTATGTTTAATTTTATTATTTTTATATTGTTATCGAAAAGACTGAAAATGTAAGCATCATTATAACTTCGTTTGTGTTCCTTTTTTAGTATTTTTTGATATGTATTATTTGGTATATTATTTATAAATTAAATTTATTCATATAATGATCATAATATAGTCGGTTTTTCTATTGTGGGACTGTCGCTTTGTTCCTAAATATACAGTTTAACATTTACTTAAACTTCAAAGAATGAATCGAAATAATTAAAAGTATATTAAAAATTGCAAATGAATTTATTAAAATTAGAAAAAATATTTTTGAGAATTTTTTGATATATCCTAAATTGATATTAATAAACTACAAATATTCGGAAATTTATTGTTAATTTTTTAAATTTTAAATTCGCTCAAGTTTTGTTTTATGGACTATGTACCCAAATAAAGCTTCCAAAGATTAAAAATCCATAATCATGAAATATATTAACATCAACGAAATATGGGAAGCCCCTGGTTAAGAAAATAAACACCATTACATTTGTAGAAACGCAGTAGCAAAAGATTACAAAACATAAATACGTATTTAACTAAAAGCAAAGTATATTTTATATCTTACATTTTGGGCTATGTAAAAAAGATTAAAATAATTTTGGTAAAAACAAACACAAATTTGTTGAGGTTATATTTAGAACGTGGGCATGATAACGAAGCCTTGGAATTTCCCAGTTCGAAACCCAAAAAAAAAAGCTGAAAGGCAGGAGCTGCTGGGACGGACCAAAACGGAAACCATGTGCCCGATCTCGTGGCGGGGCTATCAGTTAATTTCAAGATGGGAGCTGGAAGCTGGGTTCCGGAGCTTGTAGAAGGTGCTCCCGGGGAGGTGGCGAAACAAAGCCGTTGTTATATTGAACAACTTAAGTCGCATGTGGCATATCAACAGCAGCGACTTAGTTTCTGACTTATCGCCAAGTTTTATTCATTCCACAGCGACTATGTTAACTGCTGGGATTAATGTTGCTACATACGATCGTCGCCCATCCGTTCTATATGCCCAGAGGCCTCCCACCCATCCCATCCCATGCCCATCTAATCACACGGATAGTGTACGTGAGCCAAAGACCCGAACGCAGATCGTGACCAGCCGAACGATAAACGAGTGAGGATCGGGGCATCGGCGTTTGGCTTTTGGATCGCTCGAACTTATACTATAATTAGTCGTGTTCCGTCTCCTCGAGTAAGTAGACTGGTAGACTGGTCTCGGTCCGAAGCTGATCAAGCCAGTTGCCTTTAGTCTTTAGTCTGCCCTGTGGAGTGGAGTGTGGTGTGCTGTTCGTTCGGATCGATTCGCTCGGTTGTGGTTGTGCGCTTTTATTAGGGACCTGTCGATCCACCCGATAGATAGGTTTCCTGTAAGGAAATGAGCTTTAAAAAAAATGATTTGCATATAATATTTTAATTAAATCGAGGGCCTAACAACGAACTGAAATCTATGGATCTCTTACCAAAACGTTGTGCGACTTTCGTGTCCGTTCCAGTGCTTCTCAAACTGCAGCGAAAAAAGAACTGTTTCCTTATGGTTGAAAATGAAATAAAATGAAAAGATTAAAATAAAAATGAAGAAACTTGATTTTCCCACAAATATTAAATGAAATAAAATTCACATAAGAATACCGTAAAAATTCTGTAACATTGAAAATTATTTTGCAACTGTTGCGAAATTAAAGTGCCCAATTTTCTGGCTCATCTTTCCAGGCCCAGCGACGGCAACATATAAATTAATATTCGACGAGGACAGAGCAAATTATTGTGCAGGCTTAAGTGCATAGGGCATCATGTTGCCCTTCTGGAAGCGGTATGTCAAAAACTACAAAATTTTAACAAAAAAATATTAAAATATTTATATTTCATATATATTATATTTAAAACAATGCTAATAAAAAAGTGAATTAAATTTAAAATTTTTAATGACTCAAGTTAGTTTTCATAAATATTTTTTTAGATTTGCCAGAACAATTATTTTGGTTAACTAGTATAAACTTAATTATGTTTTTCCAATATAAAAATGTTTGTTTCTTTGAAATCCAAAATTATCGCGCAATAATATTTACCTTCCAAAGGTAATAAAATAAAATAAAAAATATTCACGTAATAAAATTTATGTTAAAATATGAAAACAACCATTAAAGTTAAAAAAACGGTTATGTTTCTAGAAAATTTACCTCCTGACATGATGATCCGTTCGTTATTTCAATGTTTCCAAGTTCATATTTAGCTCTTTGAAAACTCTTAAACAAGAGCACTCTCTTAGCACGTTCTCTTAACTTACCCGTTCTGATAACTTAAGGTGTCTTAAAAGAGAAGAGAATTTCGCACTTAAGAGACCAGACACTGATAAGGCGTATCGCTTATACCAAGTAATGATTCCAAGCCTCCTGATCTCTGCCCTTTTTTTTGCAGGCTGCTGTATGCCGCTGTCATCGCGGGAGCGTTAGTCGGTGCCAACGCTGTAAGATATCAAAACCCATCCTGATCCATTCGGATAATCTATAACTTTTTGTTTTTATATTTTTCTTTAGCAATTTTGGAGGGAGTCTGGTACGTCCGGTTCGATCCAGGACTCTGTGAGGCATCAAAATAGAAATGATCAAAGATTCCCAATCGACCCTAGCTTCGATATTGTTGACTCCGCCTCAATACAGCGCGGTGAGCCGTTGCCAAAGAATTGTACGGCCGGACCTGCGGGATGTGTTCCCAAGTGCATAGCGGAGAAGGGAAACCGGGGTCTGCCGGGCCCACATGGACCTACGGGATTAAAGGGTGAAATGGGATTCCCTGGCATAGAGGGACCGTCGGGCGACAAGGGTCAAAAGGGTGACCCTGGCCCATATGGACAGCGAGGCGATAAGGGTGAGCGCGGATCGCCAGGTCTTCACGGTCAGCCTGGTGTACCCGGAGTACAGGGTTCTGCTGGCAATCCTGGAGCCCCCGGCATTAATGGCAAAGACGGTTGCGATGGTGAACCAGGTATGGCTGGTCTTCGAGGTCTTGATGGAATGGCTGGACCCCGTGGTTTTCCCGGCAATCTTGGCAGCAAGGGTGAGAAGGGTGAGCCGGCCAAGGAAAACGGTAACTACGAGAAGGGCGAGAAGGGTGATCCCGGATTTAGAGGCACAGCCGGCTTAGCCGGACCACAAGGACTACCTGGAGATAAGGGTGATCGTGGCGACAGTGGACCGTATGGAGCTAAAGGACCTCGAGGTGAATACGGTCAAAAGGGTGACAAGGGTGCTTCATGCTACGGCCCCATGAAGCCAGGTGCACCGGGTATCAAGGGCGAAAAGGGCGAACCGGCGGCATCACTCCCAAGCACAAACTCGGTCTCAGTCCAGGGACCTCGAGGCGATGTGGGACAGAAGGGAGAGCCAGGCATAATCGGACGGAAAGGTGAGGCCGGACCGGAGGGTAACACTGGAACCGATGGACAGAAAGGAGAGAAGGGTCTCCCCGGCCGCCCCGGTGATCGTGTAAGTATATAGGAATAACAGCATCTATAATAACACAGGTACTTATAAATAATCTAAATATTTTTTCAGGGTCGCCAAGGTGAATTTGGACCCACAGGATCTGATGGACAAAAGGGAGATCGCGGTGAACCTGGTTTGAATGGTCTGCCTGGTAATCCAGGATCAAAGGGTGAACCAGGACTTCCGGGAGCTACAGGTCAACAGGGTCTGCTTGGTCCTCCGGGACCGCCAGGTGGTGGTCGTGGAACACCAGGACCTCCTGGACCGAAAGGACCTCGTGGCTATACTGGTGCACACGGACCTCCAGGATTAAATGGAGCAGATGGACAGCCGGGACCGCAGGGATACCCAGGGCAGAAGGGAGGCGCTGGTGTACCTGGACGACCTGGTAATGAAGGACCAGCTGGCAGAAAGGGAGAAAAGGGAACTGCTGGACGTGATGGACCTAAGGGTCCAATAGGACCCATTGGACACCAAGGACCACCAGGATCCGAAGGACAGAAGGGAGACGCTGGCTTGCCTGGCTATGGCACTCAAGGATTAAAGGGTGATGAAGGTATTCCTGGGTAAGTCGATTTGATTCCTTTTAATCATTCAATCTCAGTCTATCTTTACTCAATCCATTCCATATTTTTTACCCTCCAGATATCCCGGACAGAAGGGAAACAAGGGTGAGCGCGGCTTTAAAGGGTAACGCTGGTGTTCCCGGCGATGCCAAGTTGGGTCGTCCCGGAACCCCCGGTGCAGCTGGAGCCCCTGGACAAAAGGGTGATGCAGGTCGTCCAGGCACTCCTGGCCAGAAGGGAGATATGGGCATTAAGGGAGACGTCGGTGGCAAGTGTTCATCCTGCAGAAGCGGTCCGAAGGGAGAGAAGGGTAATAGCGGCTTGCCAGGAATTCCCGGAAGGGATGGCGCTCCAGGAAAGCCTGGAGAGAAAGGATATCCCGGAGAACGTGGTCATGACGGTATCAACGGCCAAACTGGACCACCAGGTGAAAAAGGAGAGGACGGTCAGACTGGCCTTCCCGGAGCCACTGGATTGCCTGGATTACCAGCCTTTGCCAATATGAGTTTGATTGAGGGTGAGAAGGGTGAAAAGGGTAATGCCGGTTGGCCGGGCGCAGAGGGAGTGAAAGGAGATCGCGGAGCACCGGGTCTACCTGGCCAGCCTGGTGGCAAGGGTGAATTTGGCTTGAAGGGCGATAAAGGTCTGAGCGGAGCTCCTGGCGTGGATGGAAGACCCGGACGCGCTGGACGAAATGGTTACCCTGGAAACGACGGCTTATCCATCAAGGGTGAGCCAGGATTACACGGATCGGACGGAGAAAAGGGAGACAAGGGTTCGTCCGGTTACAGCGGCGAAAAGGGAGAACCCGGCAGCTGTGCTGCTGGCGAGCTCAAGATACCCGCCAAAGGAAACAAAGGTGAACCCGGTCAGATTGGGCTGACAGGACCTATGGGAGGTGTCGGCGACAAAGGAGATATTGGATACACTGGAGCCAAGGGTAACACTGGTCCTGAGGGACCGCCTGGTGCTGATGGACCTCGTGGCTTAAATGGACCTCGCGGTGATAAGGGCAACCAGGGAGCACTCGGTGCCCCAGGTAATCCTGGCAAGGATGGGCTACGCGGCCTTCCCGGACGTAATGGAGCACCTGGTCTGAGGGGTGAGCCTGGAGTATCTAGGCCCGGTCCCATTGGTCCCCCCGGTCTCATGGGTTTGCAAGGCGAGAAAGGTAACCGTGGTCCAACTGGAGCGACGGGTCTTCCCGGTGCCGACGGCAGCGTTGGATATCCTGGTGATAGAGGCGAACCTGGTTTACCCGGAATTGCCGGACTTCCTGGAGTTGTTGGCGAGAAAGGAGACATTGGACCTGAAGGACCTCCTGGTGTGGCTGGACCTCCTGGTATTCCTGGTATTGACGGAGTACGTGGACGTGATGGCGCCAAGGGTGAACCCGGTAATCCCGGCCTGGTTGGCATGCCTGGCAACAAGGGTGATCGCGGCGCGCCAGGAAATGATGGACCCAAGGGCTTTGCTGGCGTCACTGGTGCTCCCGGAAAGCGTGGACCTGCTGGTTTCCCCGGAGTTTCTGGTAAGTTCGTAAAAAATTATAAAGTAAAATTAATTTAAAACCATTTCTATTCTAATCTACAGGTGCCAAGGGTGATAAGGGAGCTGCTGGATTGACTGGCAATGATGGACCAGTGGGAGGCCGTGGTCCTCAAGGTGCTCCTGGCATAATGGGTGTGAAGGGTGATCAAGGAGTGGCTGGTGCTCCAGGACAACGCGGATTAGATGGTTTACCTGGAGAGAAGGGTTCCCAGGGATTGCCCGGTCTTGATGGCGTTCCTGGATTGCCTGGTGATGCCTCAGAAAAGGGGCAAAAGGGTGAGCCCGGACTTTCTGGTCTTCGTGGAGATACTGGTCTGACCGGAGAGCCCGGTTGGCCTGGTGAAAAGGGTCTGCCCGGTCTGGCTATTCACGGACGTCCTGGTCCGCAGGGTGAGAAGGGTGATACGGGACGCACTGGCCTTGATGGACGCGATGGACTCGATGGCGAGAAGGGCGAACAAGGTCTGCAGGGCATTTGGGGCCAGCCTGGTGAGAAGGGATCTATCGGAGCCCAGGGTATTCCCGGTGCTCCCGGAATCGATGGCTTGCCTGGCGCACCCGGAACCCCTGGCGCTGTTGGCTATCCTGGCGTTCGAGGAGATAAGGGAGAGCCTGGTCTCTCTGGCCTAAATGGACTCAAGGGTGAAGTTGGACTTATCGGCCTGCAAGGCTACCCTGGTGCTCCTGGACCCAAGGGTGAGCGCGGTATCCGCGGTCAGCCTGGTGCTCCGGCAACCATCGACGTAGACGCTCTCCGTGGCGAGAAGGGATCTAAGGGCGAGCGAGGCTTTGTCGGCGAGAAGGGCGAACAGGGCGAGCGAGGTGAAACAGGTCTAATTGGCTACTCTGGACCCAAGGGTGATCGCGGCTTGCAGGGACCACCTGGCGCAAGCGGATTGAATGGTCTTCCTGGTGCAAAGGGTGACATCGGACTTAGAGGCGAGACGGGCTATCCTGGAGCTACTATCAAGGGCGAAAAGGGTCTGCCCGGTCGACCTGGCCGAAATGGACGTCAAGGTGAGTTATTATCCGGGATGGTTATAGAAACCAATTTTCACTATTTAAAGATCTGACTTATTCCTTGTATCTCTTTATACCATTCCTCGCGGCTTAGGACTCGTCGGAGCACCTGGCTTAATTGGTGAACGCGGTCTGCCCGGTTTGGATGGAGAGCCAGGTCTTGTTGGCATGCCTGGACCAGTTGGACCAGCTGGTATCAAGGGAGAACGCGGTTTAGCCGGCAGTCCTGGTTTACCAGGACAGGATGGCTTCCCAGGTTCTCAAGGTCCGAAGGGAGAACAGGGACCTCAAGGCTTTAAGGGCGAACGTGGTCTGAACGGTTTTGAAGGACAAAAAGGAGACAAGGGTGATCGAGGACTCCAAGGACCACCTGGATTGGCTGGTTTGGCCGGAGCCAAGGGTGACACTGGCTACCCCGGATTGGATGGAAGTATTGGACCTGATGGACCTCCGGGCGAACGTGGTTTCGCCGGACCAAAGGGACGCGACGGACGTGACGGATTACCTGGTCAGCCTGGACAGAAAGGTGAACCAGGATTGCTACCGCCGCAAGGAGTTAAGGGTGAACCTGGTCAACCGGGTCGTGATGGACAAAAGGGAGAACCCGGACGTCCGGGAGAACGTGGCCTGATCGGAATCCAGGGCGAGCGTGGCGAGAAGGGTGAACGCGGTCTGATCGGCGAGACTGGTAACGTCGGTCATATTGGTGCTAAGGGAGACCGCGGAGAGCAGGGTGAGAGGGGCTATGAGGGTGCTATTGGATTAATTGGTCTAAAGGGCGAACCTGGTGCACCGTGCACAGCCGCTTTGGACTACCTCACCGGCATCCTGGTGACGCGACACAGTCAATCTGAAACGGTTCCCAAGTGCTACCCCGGACACACGGAGCTCTGGACGGGATATTCGCTTTTGTACGTTGATGGCAATGACTATGCCCACAACCAGGACCTCGGATCCCCCGGGTCCTGTGTGCCTAGATTCTCAACACTGCCTGTGCTCTCATGTGGCCAAAACAACGTCTGCAATTACGCCTCGCGCAACGATAAGACCTTCTGGCTGACCACCAACGCCGCCATTCCGATGATGCCCGTGGAGAACAACGAGATTCGACAGTACATCTCACGTTGCGTCGTTTGTGAGGCACCAGCCAATGTGATCGCCGTGCACAGTCAAACGATAGAGGTTCCCGATTGTCCGAATGGTTGGGAGGGTATTTGGATTGGCTACAGTTTCCTCATGGTAAGTAAAACCTTTAGAACTAAAGTAAATTATCTTACATTTTTAACTTTCTCTTTTTAATTAACAGCACACGGCTGTAGGCAATGGTGGCGGTGGACAAGCACTGCAATCACCTGGTTCCTGTTTGGAGGACTTCCGCGCTACTCCCTTCATCGAGTGTAACGGCGCTAAGGGCACGTGCCACTTCTATGAGACAATGACCAGTTTCTGGATGTTCAACCTGGAGACCGCACAGCCGTTCGATAAGCCACAACAGCAGACAATCAAGGCCGGTGAACGGCAGTCGCATGTGTCCAGGTGCCAGGTCTGCATGAAGAACTCCTCGTAGGAGGCCTCCAAGTAATAACAACACCACAGACACCCACAGCACACAGCATAAGTTTAATCTAAATGTAAAGCCTTAAAATTACCAACGAATCGTGTGAAAACCAACACACTCACAACACAAACAAACACACACCGACGAACAAACACTGCTACAAATTCCTTAAACTAACCAAAAAGAAAAAAACGGATCCCCCGGTCGAAGTGCTATTTACCGACCTGGACCACAATGCCATTTTTTTATCTGCCAATTAATGTTCTAAAAGAATGTAAACTGCTTCTTAGTTACGTTACGTAAGTTAAGTAAATCAAACAAATAAATAAACTAGCCTCGATCGTATGTCCAAAAATATAAAAACACCTGCATACGTTGTGCATGTTCCATTTTATTTCCAAACCGATTTAATGCGAATGAATGTATCTTATAAAAGAGATATTACGAACATCGATAGAATCCGTTGACATAGATCGCCTCCTCAACTGCTAAACACAACTTTGTCGCTTATTGTTTACGTTTATAAAACAAACAAAAAATGGTAAAATAAAGAAAATTTATAAATACAATATTAACGTATAGAATACATTTGATAACTAAAATTTAAGCTGTAAGCAGGCTATTCATTTTATATATATTCTTAATTTGAAAATGGAAATCATCATATCTTGCTTTCAAAAAAGGGTTGTAAAATGGTTCAACAGTTGTAAGAAAAGAAAATTGCTACATGAAAACATCAGTTTGAGATATCTGAAATCGATATACCAAGCAAAAATTTAAAATATTTTGTTCCATATAATAGACTAGGTAACTCTATCCTTGAATGATTAGATCTTCTTTGAAAGACAAGGCTTCAGGGTAGGTATTGTGGTGGAAAATGCACAGTGGAGAGCCCTTAAAAAAGGAATGCCAAGGCGAGAATAGAGAGAAAAACTCACCTCATGCACTTGTGCGCATGCCTCTCTCGGTATAGATTTTAAGGTTGGGGTTGAGTTTACGAGGGGGTGGCGATGTCGATTGGGGTCGAGGGGTTGCAGTGGGGTGAACTGGGCCAGGGGGTTGACGTGCGAGACCATATGATAATGATATGCAGACACACACGCACATATTCCAATTGGTGGTTGGAAGCAGTTCGTGGCGATTCCAGCTGAAGAAAATAAGGGTAGGCCTTTGTGGCTTCAAGTTGGAAAATTCAGTCGAAAAAAAGTGCCAGAAGCCAGTGAGACTTGAACGCAAGCGGTGGCGGTCGTCGGTGGGAGTTAAAAACTTTAGGCAGATAAGCGGAGCTGCTATTGGGAGCTCAGAGGAGGTGGAGGAGCTGAAAAACTAGGGAAAAATGTGTGTACCTCAAACGAAACAGTGAAAATTGCGTATTCTTCTTTGAAAAATGAAGTACAATTTATATAAAACGAAAGATTTTATGAAACAACAAAGCTATCGGAAGTGCACCCATTAAGGCCGATTCCCTCAAGCAGCAGCAGCACCATCCACCCCCCAAAAAAGAAGACACAACCCCTATTTATGATTATCGTCCTGCTGCTGCTGTTCCAATCGCTGTGCCTCTATTGCCAACGCCTGGTGCTCTACGTCCACGACCGATGCTTCCCAAGGAACGTGCGCCTGCTGCAGGAGGTGGCCGAGACGGTGGGCGATCGTAAGGCACCACAGCGCCTGGCGGAGCAGCAGTTGGAGCAACAAAAACGAAGCCAGAAGCGTCGCATTCTCGAACCCATCCTACCCCTGGTCGGTGGTCTCAACTCCGAAGCCTGTCGGTTTTGTGCCCACAGTCCACAGGGCTATTGTCGCCATCACTTTCATCTGCAGGAACTGCAGCTGCACAAACAAAGGGGTTCCAGGGGTGATCAGGATTTCCGACAAATTCGACGAATCAAGCGGGAACTGAAGAGGAGTATTGGTCAGCAGCAGCAGCATCTCCAGCCAGCGAGAAGTTATCGTCCAGTCAGGCTGAGTCCCAGCTGGAGCAGCAGTTCCCTGAGCAGTGGCTACGCTTCGTTAAGTAGCTTTGGCTCTCAGGAGCAGGACCAGGAGGAGGTCTCATTGAATCCAGAAATTCTTGAAGATATTCCACTTGAAGAGAACCCACAGGAGTTAGAAGGTGAATTGGAGCAGCTGGATCTGCCACAGGAGGAAATCGAGCAGCCCCTACTTACCAGCCACTTGTAGGCTACTTCCTCAAGTTCTAACATTTATGGGCAAAATTTTTCGAAAAAGGTTCTTATGCTCAGTTAACCAAATACTTGTAGACCTAGTCGGTAGAATATCTACCAGGGATGTTACCATTAGAGGAGTTACCACAAGAAGGAATAGCATGAACTTCTCTTAAAAAGCTGTCAGATAAGGACCCATCAATTGAATCAAAGGCCTAGTTAACCACTACTAAATGAAAAACGTCCTTACAATGTAAAGACACAACCCTTGAAGTCGCTTCTCTAAAAAATTCAGCAGCTTAAGAGTCCAAGAGAAAGACATCCACCCCAAGCTATTCACCATTTTGACATCTACATACATCCCCAAAACGGGTTGAAGTGCTTCCTTTGTCTAAATTGATTGAGTTTGAAGCATATAAAATTTCTTGTCACAAAACAATGTCCGACGTGGAAGTGGATCCACAGCAGCCACATCCGGTGGTTGCCATTGCCCCGAGAAGGCGCCGCCAGGGCGGTCGACGAGGAGGAGGCTGTCTGGCCATGCAGTCATCCTCGCAAGAGGCATCTTCACCGTCACCCCGATTCTGTCCGCTTTCGGAAGGTGTCGAGGACAACTGGACGTGGAGTAAGCGCCATCGCTCCAAGGAGGTAGTGCTCAGCGGACCCAATTCGCGGACCGTGCACTTCCATCCAAACTGGAGCAAAGGAACCGCCGGCGTTCAGGGCAAACGATCCCTGAACAACGGGCGCTACTACTGGGAGCTACATGTTTCACAGAGGGTCTTTGGCACATCGATTATGTTTGGGATCGGGACCAAATCCGCCAGACTACATGCCAACGCCTTCCGGAACATGCTGGGCGAGAACGAGCACGGTTGGGGCCTGTCGCACAAGGGCGTTCTTTGGCACAAAGGCGTGGCTTTGCTCTATACCAAGCGTTTCCGCGAGAACCATCCCACCCAGATAGGAGTACTCTTCGATGGCATAGAGGGCACCCTCACCTACTACAAGGATGGCAAATGCCTGGGCGTTGCATTCCGGGGATTGGATCAGGTGAGTCGGAATATAAATCAACCCTAATGTGTAGGAAATCAATATTATGTTAATCATATCCAGATTGATGAACCCCTATATCCCATCGTGTGCTCTACGGCTGCCAAGACAGAGATGACCCTGAAATGTACCCGGAGGGAGTTCGTCAGCCTGCAGGACCGCTGCCGTGCCGTAATAATGCGACGGGTAAGAAGCGCAGCGCAGCTGGAAAAGCTGAAGCTACCGTTGCCCATCAGCGATTATTTGGGGGAGGTGATCGATGAGATGGAGCCACTCCGTCAGGTAGACAACTACGACATACTGTGTGATTTGTAAAGCTCGGGTCATCTGGTCCCCGGGGATCGATGATGCCGAGTCTCGGTTAAGCTTGAGTTTATAGAGTACGTCCTCGCCCCCAGGTTAATCAACTGGAGATGTGCATAATGAATTATGATTTGTAAGAGGCCCGTGAATCTTTTTTGTGCCATCACAATTGGAGTGCACTCAGCATTCGAAACGATGCAGTGCCTCTGGGACATGTAAATTTAACGTAGTAATTGTAAAGAGTGCTTTGTGAACCGTATTGTTAAGTATTTATCTGAAATTATCAAGTGTCGATAATACGATTTTCAGTTTTGTTTTTAGCTTTTTGTTGAAAATTTCTAGCAAAAATGTGGGGAAATAGGCCAATTCGGTGCAATATTTGTGATATAAGGAAAGAAAGAGTAAATAATTAAAAATGTATTTTGGGGCTTCAAGTGCTTGCTAGAAAACCCCAAAATAAGTTAGCATCTTTGGGCATAGAGTTAAGCATATTTTTCGGTACAGACGAGTGTGAAATCTAGTCAAGAACACGCTGCTAAGCTAATTTTGTATAATCGCAGTCAGCAATTAAACTAATGTATGTAATTTAATAAAACGGAAACGTTTCTAGTCATAAATTGCATATAAAACAAATGAAAACTGTAAAAACTTTTTAACACATGTAAAAGTACAGCCCATATGTATATCCAAAATAATTTAGTAAAAATTATTTATTATGATTTTTGTAGAATTTTTTTTCTTGGGTGTCTATATAAATTACAACACATAATTTAATTGGTAAATGACAAACCAGAAATAAGACAAGAAAATGAAATTTGTAAGAAGCGCTCAAAACAATTTAGCGATATTGATTTGCAATTGTCGCATGAATTTACATAAATAAAACTTCAATTTACTAACTATTTAAATGAAATACAATACTAAGCACAGGTTCACTATAGCAGGATTGATGATTGGCTGGGATCTACAGCTCGTCGTAGAGATGGTTTATGTTTTGTAAGTGGTCCCCGTAATCGGTGGCCTCGCTGCCCACAAAGGTATCGTAGTTGTTAAGTATCTCCAGGTATGTCAGCCGATCATCATGATCCTCATCGGTGGATACAAACAGGTGATCCACTTCATCGTTGGCAATCGCCGTATTACTTGGCACAATCCAGGATAAAACCTCATCGCCCGTAAGCACACCATCGCCATTGATATCGTGATCCTTGTCGAATCGTTCTTTTTCCGTGATCAACCACTCCTTGTCGTGATGTGAAGCTGCATCGCCGACGAACTCCTGGAAACTGATCTTGCCGTCGTGATCCAAGTCTTTGTCCTGCATAGTGTGCTCCAGAAGTACAGGTAACATCTGTGGATGCTCTTCGGGATTTTGGAAGTAAATAAATTCCTCCATCGTCAGAACTCCATCCTTATTCGTGTCTGCCGCATTGAACATCTCTTTGTCCTGCTTTATCATCTTTTGCTCGTCCTCATAGCTTTCATAGTCAATGGTCTCTTTTTTAAAGTCTTCATCCTCCATGGAATATGTATCCTGCAGATACTCTTTCCAAGTTATTTTCTCGTCCGCATCCTGATCTATTTCTTCAAATCTGTCTGCTGCTTCCTCTTCAGATAGTTTTCTGCAAGTGTTATAGTTCACTTAAGTAAGAATATTAAGCAGTTATCTAAATTATTGTAAGTTAAGCAAGCTCAAAGCATTAATTTTCCAAAAAGATTATTTGCATGGCTATCATAGATGCAGTATTAATCAACAGACAACACTCACTTAAAAGACCTTAATATCCATGCTTTCAACTCATGCCGGTCAACAAATTCGTCCTTATTTAGATCCATCATTTTGATTAAAACCAACAGACGCTTCTTCGATTCCTCTGGTGTAAGTGTGTCGAACTCCTGAGCCTCTTTCGTATTTCCTAATATAGTTAAAAATAAATATTACAACATGAACGTGAAAACTTCCATGGAACATAAAGCAGAAGCAATGCCATTGACGTGTTGCGTTCAGAAAACCATTTTAATAGTTTTACTATGGAAGCACTGTGCAAAAAACTTGGTATAAAAATAAAATTAAAAATTTACAACAAAAATGTAAACATCTGTTTAAATACTAAAGAATGGTCAAGCAAAAAATTAAAAAAAGAAATTGCACAATTTGTCGACATTAAAATCATGTAGTTGAGCATAAATACAAATGTACATATATGACTGAACCATATTCTATTGATGTTTGAATGATTCTTGCCATGTGCAGAACCTCAAAAATAAACCTCAAGTAAACAAACATATTGGCAAAGCATACACTTTAAAAAATAAATAGATCGGTTTTAATGAAAAAAAAAATTTGAAATATCGATTCAAATGTATTTATTCTTTCTGTGTGATTAAAAAAAAAATTTTTTTCGTTTTTTGAGATGAGATGAGAATTTTTGACGCTGAATATGATCTCCTTTTCTTGCACTGACTCACCAATGATGGCCTCATGATCGAACTCCACGTTGTGCTCCCCATCCTCGCCGTGGTGATGAGCATCCCGGGGGGCGTAGATGCCATCCTTGACCCGCTCCTTGCTATGATGTTTCTCGTGCTTGTGACTATTGGCCACCGCCCCGTTTGCAGGCATTGGACCCACGGCGGCCAGAAAGGCGATGGCACAAAGGGCTAGCGGGAGGAACGGAAGATTCCTAGGCATTTTAATTGATTATGCCGAGCGGCGTATAGTCTTTTTCTTTATTATTTTTTGGCAGCTTCCCGAACTCTTGAGTGGATGAAAATGAGGAGGAGGAGGGACTGCGGGTGGAGGCACACGTAATGCGTAACAATACAATGAACTCAGTTCACCTTTCGCCAGTTTCTAAAATATGCAAATGTCATTAAAAAAAAAACTATTTTTTGAATTTAAATATCCGTACATCAAGCCGACAGCTGCTAGCTCCGATTACCACTTTAATCTTTCAAAAAAAAAATTATCTTACCGCATTTTTCTTCAGTGAGGGTTTTTATTTATTTGCTTTCGATTTAATTTATTAGTCTTAAATTTATGGCTATCTAAACTAAATATTAGTTTATTTACCTCCGCGGAGTAGGCAAAAAAAACCAATGAAGCTAATAGTGTGACCCTCAACGATACATAATTGTTTGCCTATCGATTTATGGTCATCGGTAAACCCTGGTTTTTGTGTGCTAGCCTTTTTAGTATTTTACAGGTAAAATACTAGGATTTAATCTTTTTTAAGCTTATGGCTGCGGTCAACAAGAATATTAAAGCTTAAAATTGGCAAAAAAAATTAAGTGATAAATATATATAAATCGGGCTCAGACTAGTCACATTTAAGCCAAGTAAAAGGACCAGGTAAGCCCTATCTCCTTAACAAAATAGAGAAGGTAACACTGATGCTATAGGCTAGAGAAAACATGTAAAATAACAGGCAAACCAAATGAAGATGATTAAATTCAAATGACATCATTTTGCGACAGCTGTGTGGCATAAAACTCGTTTGGAGCCGCGCGTTTATTTATTTGGAAATTTGATCATAATTTACGTTCATTTTGTGTGCCTTGAACACGCAAAGGACACTCGAGCGCAATAGGTGTGCGTGTATTCTTGTCAGGACTCTATTCGTTAGTATGTGTAAAGACCACTTCTATCACTACGAGTTCTAGTGTGTTCGTGTAGGAGCTGTTGACCGGCTCAGTTGGACTTTTATTTATATACATATATATTTGCTTTATTATTTTTGCTATGCGCCGTGCGACAGAAATACTTACTCATTAGTCGACCGGTCAGGTCAGTAATTATAGTCCCTGACTAAAGCCAGGCATGCAACTGGTCGCGGGGTTTGACCATACAGCTGTGCGAGGGAGAACGATAAACGCACATGGGTGCCGTCAGTCGAACTCCCGGGGGATTGTGGTCTATATATTAATAATGTGCGTAAAATATAAAAAAATGTCGGACTTATTTCCTTTTTTCTCCTATTTTGAACATATCTAATTAATCTAGCCTATTTTATTTTGGGAATTATTTTTTTGAATAACTTACAAATTTTGCTAATTTTTAATTGTTGAAGAACAAAAATGTTTTATGATGGATACAAATTTCTTTTATATATTTTTAAACGTGAATCAACTTTTAAATAAAAATTGATCATATTTAAAATTTTTCAAATGAAAAAGTTAAAGTATATTTTTAATCGAAGCCCTTAGGCTTACATTAAGAAAGACTTACATATATTATATTTTGACTGATTGGCGGTAAAACCCATGGAGCACATCTTATCCCTATTTTTGCCGCTTTAGTCGCTCTGTAGGAGATATCGTATATCGCATGGATGATTATCCTGGTCGAATGCGTCAGTTTGTCATTTGGGTATGCGCCACCTTACACCCTAGGCTAATCCAATAAAAAGCTGCTAACCATTTCAGAGAGCCACGCTGAGCGACGCCTATAAAAATAAAAACCACAACAGTTAAGCTAACGCTGGGAAAACCTCTTGGTCGAAACGTGGAACCCGATTTCGGTTTCAGTCGAGAGTCAACCTTCAGCAGCGCAACAGCGAGCATTTTTCTTCACCTCAGTTTCGTTTTTTGTATATCTCATTTGTTTCCCCCACTTACGTTTCACGGTTTTTCGTTGGCACGCCCGCGCTAATTAATCCGCAGATATAACCAGCCGTAATCAGGCCAAATGCCGTACATTATCATACGGGGGAACTTAGCCTCCTACAGCCACAAATATCCATGGCGAGTGCTCGTCTCTGGATTGAAAGGTAAACCGTTCAGTCCCGTAGATACAATATCTCATTTTCGTTTCGCTTTTATTTTGTCGTGTGTTTACTATTGCGACACAATTAATTTCGAGAGCTTGGCAAACAGATACGAACACATCATACGAGCACCACACGCTAGCTTTTTGAGCGTTAGTTTTCGGTTTTTCCACTTTGCACCACCAAAAAATACTTTTTACAAGGGTAGACAGTGGCGGGAAAATTTAACTTGCCAGTTGATGTTTTCCGAAATTATAATATTTTTTTATAAATTCAGAATGTTTTTTTTAGATTTGTGATAGTGCTCCTGCATGACTGTTACTGACATTTCTACTTTTAAAGCTTACAACGCATCAGCATGGTACTGTAATGTAATACATTATTTGAATGAATGCACAATAGTGGTTAAAATATTAGTTATTTAGACAAGTCTTAAAGTTTACTTGAAGTGTAATTCCTATGCTGACATTTTAATTTAGAAAATTAAATAATTAAATCCTTCTAGATTTAATTAAAGAGTTATGCCTAATGTTTTAAGTCTGGTAATAAAAAAAATGTTCTTAGTGAACTTTCTGTTGTATGAGCATAGAAACCTTGTCCAATTTCAGAATAACCTGAATAGCCGGTTGGATTTGAAGTTGCCTAAAATCACATTTAAATCATCACCTGTTATGTTAAAACCGTTTTGCAATATATTAGCACTTTTCCGTAGCTTATTTTTGTTCAATAAAAACAACAGCTGCCCTTTAATTGCATGCCATTTGCCCCTGGACACCCGCTACCCCGTACCTTTCCGCTTTTCACGACCAGCACTGTGTGAAGTTTTGCTCCCGCAGACGAGGTCTTCGTCAGTTTGGTTTTGTTTTTCGCTGCGTGCAGTTCGCTTGGCAGTCCGGGTCTGTAATTTATATAAATTTATATATACACCCGTACGTACACCACATACATATATCGACTTAATTCCGGTGCATACTTGTGGAATATTTATCTGTGCCGGTCAGAAGTCAATGCACCGGGATCTAGACACAAAGAACACACGAGAAACTCCCAATTTTCTTTTATTATGAAACAGCAGTCAATATTTTTTATCCATTTGCTTAATTAGCACACTCACACCGAAAGACAATGGCATTGGGTTGACGTCATCGTCCGACCCAGCCGTGTTATCTTTTGTTTGCTCTGTTTAAACATTAAGCCATACCATTAAAGAAAAGGAAAGCAATTTTCCAAGAAATAACACTTTTGATAAACATTGCCCATTCCACCATAAATACTTTCAGCTGACGACATCGAACAGTTAAACAAGTTCTCCTGCGGCGGCTACAGTGACGAGTCCACCATCGTCTATCTAGTGCATCCCTGTCGGATTTTATCGGCGCTAGAAGTGAGTAACATTCAGTTTTTAGTACCTGTGTACTCGATTTCTAGTTTTAAATTTAGCATTACAAAATAATTAGAATTAACACTTAAATATTTGTTTAATTATATTGGAAATCGCTATTAGTTTTTCGGGAGATTTCTTAAGATTTCAACTTGTTTTTTAATGGTAAAAATTTTATTTTTTAAAATTAATTTTAAAGACTACTACTACTACTATCTCCCAAAAATGTTTATCAATTTGATTAGTTCCTACCAGACATTGATAAATCGGTTTATGTAGGGTTTTCACCTAAACTTAATTTTTAGCTTAGTAAAACGGAGCACCTATTTTAAGGCTGTCAACTTTTTACCTTTTTCCCTAAGCAATAAACTAATTGTACCTCCCCCATCATTACCCTCAATTACTCAGTGACTCATGGATTTTTGCATTACCCTTTCAGATCCTGGGATTTCGAGTTGTGGCCAGCTCATCGACGGCCGTGAAGCAGGACTACAACGAGTATATGTGGACAATGCGCAAGGAGTTCGACGAGCCAGAACCCCTGGAAGCAGAGTCCGTAGTCAGAGAAAATCTTTCGAATATTGGCCGAGAGGCAGCCAGTTTAGGCAACTATCACAAGGTTGATTCACCCGAATAAGGATCCGTAACAGTCCAAAAAAACTAGAAAACAACCAACAACTCTACTCTAATTGTATAATTTTGTGTGTGTGAATTGTGTGCGGCATTGTGTGTGTGTTTCAGTGTAAAAAACTATAGCAACCTAGGGAATACAAAACATACTCTCAGTGAAGGAGGCGACCGATTGAGTCCCAGAAGACGAACAAACTATGAGTGAGGGCGTGGCCGGGCTGAAGGAACCTCAGAATCTCAACAGCGAGCTACCTCAGACTGTCGTGTCCGCGGCATCGGCTGTATCCTTGAACGCCGCCACCGCCGCCGTTCCGGCCAATGTGGTGACCATTCCGGTGCCCATTCTGCAGTCGGAGGGAAACTTCGCCTATATCACTGTCAAGGGATCTCTGCACGATTATACTTGCACCATTTTTGGACTGAATCAAGCGGAAGTTCAAGCCCTTTCAAAGCGCTTCGAGAGCGGAGTTAAAGCTTGCGTCAATGGTATTATGGTGGCAGTGCCACCCATGGTTATGCTAAACACGTTGGCCCAGCTTAGCTACAAGGTTGTCTGCAGTTGCGGTGAGGCCGAAATTTGTTGGACTATGCAGCGTGAGGTCTAATTTGTGAACCAAGTTCAAACTGTCATCGTCAAACGTCAGGCAACTGGAAACTAAGGCACAAGGAAAGACAAGGAAGTCAATATTGTAACGAAACTCTCGAAATTATCAGCAAGCCAAAATGGATCCCCACAGTGCTGACAACTGCAAGTGCCACAAGCAAACTCAACCGGCACAACAGACGCTCAGCGACATGGATTTTGATCGGGGCATCTGGAATGCAGGTTAGAAAGTACTTATTCTGTAAAAGTGAATAGACTCTAAGAAACTATTTTTCCTTTCTTGTATAGCAATTTATAACGAGGTGGAGCGTGTTAGGGAGTTTATCAAGAAGGGCCAGTCAATGGCTCGGGATGACTGCGATTATACGGCTTTGCATTATGCGGCCCGCAATGGCAACGAGCCAATCTGTAAGCTACTTCTCGATGAAGGCAAGGCAGATGTTAATGCTGTTACCAAGGCAGGTGCCACCTCCCTGCATCGCGCAGCTATGATGGGTACTTACAACCACATTAATTCCCTTTTGATGTAATGCTAAAAGATTTGTACATCTTTAGGTCACTTGGAAATTGTAAAGCTACTGGCAGATCACAAGGCGAATCTTCTTCTGCAGGACGAGTGCGGACAGAGTGCTCTGCACCGAGCAGCGATGAGGGGCCATTTGGAGGTGTGTCGCTTTCTGCTGAAGAAGGAACCGGCACTCAAACTGATCAAGGATAAAAAGGATAAAATTGCATTTGAGTACATCATGGAAAACGCTAATGATGACTTTAAGCTACTATTAAAGCCCTAGAAGAGCTTGTCATTCCCCTACCGTTCAAGAGAAATGTATTTTTTATATTTTAAGCACTAAAATGTTTTCTTTTAAAACTTTTATTTCGTTTATTAAGTCTGTTAACAACTTTTCTATAAAATTGCACTCAATGTCGTTGTAAAATCCTAATTTAAAAATTGAATATGTCCCTTCTTCAGTTTACATTGTGTGAGAGATCGATTGTTTATGGAAAAGTAATCTTAACGATGGCGTAGTCAAATAACCTAGTTGATATACCATTAAATCATTTACATAGACTATATACATGCCTACTAAACATTAAATGTGCAAGTAATTTAGACAAAGAATGAAAACTCTGTGCCCCAAAGGATGTACACGCAGAAAACACTTTTAAACGTATGAAATTTGTGTGAAAATTCTGTTTGAAATTTAAAATGCGTAAGAAAATTAATATCACATTAGAGTCGTGTAACGAAGGTGTTAATCATTTTTGGTGTTTCCGAAATATGGAAAGTATTATAAAGTCCTAACACATACTTTACACAACCTTCCTACACACTCGTCGCCAATATACAAAACCAATATGCTAAATACCATATATCCATACATATAAAACCTATATAATCTGAATAAATCCCTAAAGCGAAATCAATCCCAAGATTCTGTGCATCTTATAAGAGGTATCTGAACCGGTTCCATTCCCCTCACTTGGGGAAGTTCGGAAAATTCGCTGAGGTAGAGCTTCAGTGTGGCGGGTATGGCAAACTCATCTACGATCCTGCCCAGCGATGAGCGTTCCTGCGTAGGAAGATACTTTTGCTGCATCTCAGGCCGCGTTCGGAGGGATTTTAGGAGACTCTGACGAATCTCCAGACGAGCAAGGGATTGCAAGGAACGTGGTTGAGTACCAAACAAAGACATTTCCCGCTCGAATTCCTTGCGGGCTGGTTGCCAATCGTTGGGCAGAGCTCGATGCTTATGAGGAAATTGGAAGCCAGCGTTACCTATGGATTTAATATATATATTATTAGAGATATAATTAACAGGCATGTTTATCAGTAACTTACAAAGCAATCTCGCAAATGCCAATCTTGCTGGGGAGCAATTGGATCTCAACTCGTTAACCACATGCTCCCGGCAGATTTGTGCCAGATTGCAGCCCTCGTGGATGAGGAATTCAGCTAACTCTAGGCGATGTAGGTTGATAGCCCTCGACAATGGAGTTTGGCAATAGATCAAGCCACAAACAATAGTTGGAGCACAGGATCCATATAAATCCTGACGAGCGCTAGGTAATTTTGAGAGCAATACTCGAATGATTTTGCTAAACTCCTTAACACAAATGATCTGTTGCACGGCGAACAAGATCAGACCTTCATCGTGGACATCGGAATATAGACCCAATTTTCGATGCTCCTCCGCTACGGTTAGAAGGTAATCCAGCATTTCAGGGCGCTGCAGGTGGATGGCCAGCATGACGGGCGTGAAGTTATCACCATCACGGACCGACAAACTTTCGCCGTATTGCAGCAAGAGTTTCACCATTTCCCGGTCGTTGCACTCCACGGCGCTGTGCAGAAGATGTTGAGAAGCCAGTCGGCGAGCTCCTTGCTCCAAGAGTAACTTGGCCATTTGGCCATGTCGACCCCTAACCGCATATTGCAAGGCCGTGTGATTTTGCTTATCCTGAAGATTGATGCGAGCACCTCGTTCTACCAAGTCCTTAGCCAGATCCATCAAACTGCAAGCAATAGCCGTCATTAAGGGAGTTTCACCCTCATCATCCGTGTCGTTGATGTTGATGTTGGTTTGGAGCAGTAACCTGGCGGATTCAGTAGACTTGTTCTCGATCGCCACATGTAGGGCTGTCTTGCCATCACTCAGTGTTTTGGCATTCACCAAAGCTCCGTGCTTTATTAGCAGCTTGGTGACCCCAGCGAAACCCGATCCGACATGGAGAGGAGCATAGCCCTCGCTGTTGACTACATTGATGGGAGCACTATGCTCTAGCAGTATACGTACACATTCCTCGTGCCCCCAATAGGCGGCATAGTGCAAGGGTGTAGCCAACTCCGCATCGTACTGGTGGGGATCCTGTTCCCGACAAGAAGCACAGCACTGGGACAAAAACTCTCCGGTATTCTCGAAGGTTTTAGCGTAATACTGATATAACTGGCTGTCTTCTCCACCGCCTCCGCCTCCATTTTCAGAACAATTTTCAAACTCATCCACCCACTCCAGTTTCTCCATACCTTCGGGAGTCCGCTCGATCTCCAGACTATCCGTGTGAGCTAGAATTTTAGACAAATTTTTAACGATTATTAGATTGTTTAAAAAATGGTTTTTATTATTATATTGAATTAAATACATTATTAATAGAGTTTTCGATACATGCCACATAGAACTCACACGGTCTACTGTCGTTGGGCTAGAACTCTTAAGCTACCTCTGTTATCACCTAACTATACCGATAACCGGTTTTCAGCTCTCGGCCTTCTACTCTTTCGTTTCTCTGTACTTGCATTATGTCGGACAGCCTCAAAAAGAGGTGTGTTTTCGGTCAATATGGGTCAGCAGTTACACAAAAAGAAATGTTTATAATAAAAATTAAAATTACTAACCAAATTAATAATTTTAAAAAATATAAAAATAAAAGAAATTTACTAATGAAAAACTAGTCTCCTCGCTCTTTAATAATTTAAAAATTTAGTTTTACCTTTATTTTTTATTTAAAAATTACTTGATGCTAGCTCTTTTTTTTATTGTTCATCGATTTTCTCTCAGCCAGCTGTTGTTTACCTGACGGAAAACTTCCTGGTTATTAAAGATATATATTTTAGATTTCTTAAATTTATTTTCTACTTCATTTATAAATTCTTAATCACTACAATTGCACTTAATTTACTCTCCAAATGTAACTGTTATTTAATTAAATTATCCGGAAGGGTTTTAATTATTAGATTTTCTGAGCCAGTGGAAAACTCACAATGATGGAAGACATCCAACTCGGGCTCCTCGCAGGATTGTACCAATAGCTCTAGGAGCTCTGCGTCTCCCAGAATGGCCGCTGTGCCCACGGCTGTGCGTCCGCAAGTGGGCGATACATAAGAGGCCTGGGCTCCTTGCATTATACATCCCAGAGCCTGCTCAAAATCACCACTTTGAACCGCAGTCAGCAAGCGTTCATTGAGGTCGTAAGACAGCATTTTGCCATTGGGTTAGTAATTCGTTTAAGACTAATTCAAAGCGGGTTAGAAAAACGCGAAGCAAAAAAAGACAAACCAAAGGATAAGCAGCTGGCTGCCGTGTGTGAGAAATGCGTTGATGTCGTCAGCGGCTGCAACACTCCCCCGGAAAGTCTGACGAATAACTGAAACCAAACAGTTGGTGTGCGCAAAATCGAAACCGGCCACCCTGGGTGGTGGTTTTATTTTTGGGGGCGGTTTATAAGGAAAATTGTTTCAGCTCATGGAAAATGCAATAAAGAGAACAGTCAGCTGGTGTTTCGCTTCCAAGCACACTTAATGCTGTTTTCGTTTATTTTTGACATCAGTATGCGCAGATGCTATGTTTGTAAATTATAGATTTTGTTGCCTCAGATTAAAAAAACGTTTAACATAAGCTAGTCTACTTGATTTCCTTGGCTTCCTTGGCGTTCTGCAGGGACTCGGTGATAAAGAGCTTGGCTAGCGATTGAGAACAGAATTGGGCGATGTGCTGGGCGTGCGTGTTGATCTGGCCAGAGGTAATGGTTGCCGTCAGTCGAGCAGGCACGGGCATGGGGCGGAATTGCTTGATCACCTCCTCCTCGGCTACTGTTGGCTCACCCTTTGAAGTACGAACCGCGTTCTCGGCGGCCAACTTAGCCAACGCACGGTGCTTCTCCTACAAAACAATTATAGAAATTTATAATTAGAATATGTAAACTCAGCTGTTTATAAATGATAGAGAAAGTCTTGTTTACATTATGATTTAAAATACATTGAAAAAAAACTTCAAGCCAATTAAACTATTTAAATCAATATTAAATTTGAAACTATCTTTAAAATTATTTTATGTTAAAATTTAAATGACCGTAATGTAATGTACAATTTTTATGTTAAGTCCAGCCAATACAACCGATTTAAACAATTTTAAGTTATTTACAAACTAAAGTTTTATAATTTTAAGTTATTTTCAACTTTTTTAAAAATAACGCCCTTATCTCTATAAAAAATTTAAATATTTTTTTAGTTTTCTTACCGTATCCTGCTTGAAGACTACTTGCTGGTACTTGTTGTAACGCACCGCCTCCTGGTAAAGCTCGTCGACGCGCTCAATAAGGCTGCGCATTTGGTTCTCAAGCACCGAGGCAGTGCCAAGGTCCAGGAAGTTATGACCCTTATCCTCTGGCAGAAGCTCGTTCAGCTCGCTCATCATGATGTTGGTCAGCGGCGAGTTCTTAATTACGATGGGGATTTCGGCGAAGAGGCTCTCATAGCCAACCTTCAATGTACGGAATGCCTCGGGCGTGAAGTCGCCATCCTTATACATCTGGATAGCCTGAGGTGTGAGGCGATAGGCCTTCAGGCAGAGGAATCCACGTGAGGACTTCTGCGTATCGTAGACCACCACGACGGACTCTTCAATGCTAGTCTGGTAGTGATACTGCGATTCTAGTAGAGCCAGCGACAGGCTATTGCCCACGTCGGAGCTCTGGTACCAGCCCACATGGAGATGGTCTACGTTAACGCGTCGCAGGCGACGCATCACAGTCAGCTGGTACATTTCTTCGTCCATGGTCTCATCGCCACTCTTGGGGAAAGGAAAGCAGTTAGTAATCTCCAGACACTTGTCTACTACCAGACCGAGCAGGGCGCCCTGGGCAAGGTCCATGTTGCTCGACTCCTCATGGCAATGTTTCACCATCTTCATGACGGCCTGCGGAAAGGAATTACATTTAATATTTGTCAAATCCATTTAACGACAGATGCCTTTTGCTTTTGTTTTGCATTTGTACGGGGACAGGGGTTTTTTTTTAATTCGCTGGTATATATTATTATTTTTAATGTTAGAATATAAACAGAAACTTATAATTGAATAGTGAAAAAGTACAAGATTTTGATTTTGTTTCAACCCATGTACATATAACGACCCCTGTTACCGATAAGACAACGCCCATGTCCTCGCACACACACATAAATACCAGGCAAATTTTTGAGCCAGCGCGTGGCATCATCGCTTGCCGCTTCTTGACCGGCTTTCACGGGTTATTCGTGACCAGATCTTCTGGAAAGAAGGACTACTCACCAGACCATCGCATTGTACATAGTTAATAGTGTTATCCGACTCCTCAGTGCGGGCGGCATGACGATTAGCGCGATTTGCCATGTTGACGAATTGTTAGCGAAAAGACCCAACGACGTGAAGTCGGCTGCAGTAGTACACAGCGTTTCACAACACTGCCGAGTCAGCTGTTTAACACAATAACACGAAATATCGATGCCACGAGGAGTTATTTGTCTGCGTCTATCGGGCTCCAAATCAGCTGTACGGCTTTGCGATAAAAAATACACTTTTGTTTATAAGATAAAAACGACTGAAAGAAATTTATTTCCCATAGAAACAAGAAAAAGGCAAACTTGTCACGAACGGGTGGAACTGATAACAGCTTTAGGAGGCCAGAGCCGCGATTTGAAGAGTGGGTGAAGTTAGTTTTGGTTCTCTCATTAGCAACGCAACGCTGGCAATTTGGAGATCACGGAGATGTCGACTAATTGGCGTGAATTGTTCCCCACCAAGCTCACATTTGTGATCTTCCTGCTGTACATGTCCCTATTTATAGGGCAGGGTGCGTAATTCCCTTCTTTTGACATGTTTCTAAGACAAGGCTCCACCCTAATTTCGTTATTTTGCAGGCATATTTGTCACAGCATCGCAAGAGTCAAACAATTCCTACGGATATAATACAGTTACGGTTGTGCTACTCACCGAGGTCTTCAAACTGATAGTTTCCACCTGCCTGTACTGCAGAGAGTTAGTATAACTACATAGATACTGCCACTTCCCACCCATTATCCTGCGATTATATTTTCAGCAATAATCTACGCTCCCTGGTGCGTGATGTACACAAGGATCGCAATGTCCTGGCCCTGTATATGGTACCTGCCTTCCTCTACTGCTTGTACAACAACTTGGCCTTTGTCAACTTGGCAACCTTTGACCCCACCACCTACTACCTACTTCTTCAGCTGCGTGTCGTTGTCACGGGTATACTGTTTCAAATTATCTTCAAGAAGTATCTATCGCAAAGGCAATGGATCTCCCTCATATTGCTGACCCTGGGCTGTATGATGAAGCAGGTCGATTTTGGCAGTTTCTACAGTGATACCAATGATGATAGCGAGTCCGCAGCTATTCAACAACAGCAATTACTTAATCATACATCAATTGACAAGCAGGTTCACGGGAAGAACATGTCCGGCTTTGACTTCAGCTTGAGTGCCGTTTTTATTTTGGCCCAGACCATTTGCTCTTGCCTGGCTGGCGTATACAACGAATATTTGCTGAAAGACAAAGGCGCCGATGTAAATATTTTTGTTCAGAATGTTTTCATGTACCTAGACTCGATTGTCTGCAATGCTGTAATCCTCCTGCTGCGCGGCGAGCTGATAGATGCTTTCAGTCCGCAAAATCTGGGTAGCATCATGCGTTTTAGCGTGCTAATCATAATTGTGAACAATGCGGCCATTGGCATTGTCACCAGTTTCTTTCTGAAGTACATGAACTCTATTCTGAAGACCTTTGCCAGCGCCTTGGAACTGCTCTTCACAGCAGTTCTATGTTATTTCCTTTTCTCCATACCCATCTATATGAACACCGCGCTGGCTATTGCGGTTGTTTCGTACGCCATCTATCTCTACACGCAGAGCCCGGTTGTTAATCTGGGCAAGGTGCGTCCACTTGCCAATTTGAGCGATGCTACAGTCAAGTCCACAGACAAAAGAAAGCTGCTTGACGAGGAGGTGTCAGAATCGGACCTGGATATCGTGTAATGCTGTATCTAGTCTTAGACGTAATCTTAGGCTGTATATAGTTGTGGAAAAGTGCCTGCAAATGTTTTAAACGCCAGACGAAAGTATTTGACCCCAGGCTATGTGCAATGCTATAGCAACAGGCTTGTAAATACCAAAACTTTTGCTTTTCTATTTTAAGATTCTCAGTATAAATGTATTTAAATCATAACATGATTTCAATCAAACGAAAAATGGGTTTACATTTGGCGCTTCTTCAAATAGCTTCTCGTAGATATGGTTTACAAATCGGGGTATCTGGAATTTCTAAACTTAAATTTATCTATTCATGTCATGTCCATCTTCCTGGATAGGTGGAATGCAAGTGGTAAGGGAATATGGACGGTTTAGTAGTCTATGCTGCCTATATGGTATAGAACATTCCTTCAAATATTTCTCCACGTCAAAGCGGGGGCCCACAGTTATTCGCAATTCGCGATGAGCGTATTTGTCTGGAATATCAGAATTCTGTGGTCCCCCATTTCAAACTCGCAGTTGGATTTAAAGTGTTTAGCTTTATTTTACTATGAATTGATAGTGAAAAATCCCGCTATGTTTTAAACTTCTGTTTAAAGGTGGGAAGATCTTTTGTTATCGTTTATTTATTTGAGAATTGTTAACGATTCAACTGCTAAGTAGTTAAATTTCAGTCATTTCTTTGAAAACTTCACACAAATTCAACTCTTAGAACTTTAATCGTTTTGGCTTTCGAGGGCATATCTTTAATCTTGTTGTGAATAATAATACTGGCGATAGACCAAAAATATTCGATACACCATATTATTAATTTTAAAATCAAATAAATTTCCCATTACTCACATGGCCAACAGTCCAGCAAGAATCGTGAACAAAATTGATTCGATATTTTGAATCCATTTTCCAAAGTGGAAGTAAAAATAGTTTACCAAGTGTGGAATACCCTTCATTAAATCCAGAATACGGTCACACCCCATTAACTGCGCGTAGTCCCCATCCCTCCTCCCTTGTGTCATTCATTCGACAATTTCGTACAGTCTAGGTCGACAATTTCGTTGTAAATCGAACAAGAACGCTTAACTAATTAAAATATGGCTCGTACCAAGCAAACTGCCCGTAAATCGACCGGTGGCAAGGCGCCCCGCAAACAGTTGGCCACCAAGGCTGCCCGTAAATCGGCTCCTTCGACTGGAGGCGTCAAGAAACCACATCGCTACCGTCCTGGAACTGTGGCCCTACGTGAAATCCGTCGCTACCAGAAGTCCACGGAGCTCCTCATCCGCAAGTTGCCCTTCCAGCGTCTAGTGCGAGAGATTGCTCAAGATTTCAAGACCGATCTGCGTTTCCAGTCGGCGGCTATTGGAGCCCTACAGGTAATGCGCGGAGCACCACTTCCCCCAACTCTTTCACATGGTCATGTAATTATAAAACTTACTTTTAATGCGCAATTTATAGGAGGCCAGCGAGGCGTATCTGGTCGGTCTTTTCGAGGACACCAATCTGTGCGCTATTCATGCCAAGCGTGTTACCATCATGCCTAAGGATATCCAGCTGGCCAGACGCATCCGAGGCGAGAGGGCCTAAACTCCCATGTCCGCCATCTTAATTTGGAAAAACAGTGGCGGCAAAAATGCCAACCCACAGCTGTCTTACATAGGAGGAGAAATGAAGGTGGAGAAACGAAAACCCACACCAGCAGCTGCCGCCGCTTAGTGCTTAGATATATCTATCTATTTTTACTGATAAGTAATAAATAATGTTCAAATAAAATCGAATAATTTTTTTTTCTAAAAGTAGTCTTCTTTTGAGTGACGTCAGTTAAAACTTTATTACTTAAATCAGTACTCAGAACAATGTTTAGGTAATATATAAAACCATCCCTTAATTCGTATTTTGTTCCTATGCTATTGTATCCCTGTGTTTAATGAGGTAGATAAGATAATTGTGTTGGACTTTCCTTCTTTGAGAACATCTGTGCTTGACCACAACTTTCTTAATCTCTATCCGAATGGAATGGGATCTTGACAATTAAAAGCCTGGACAAAGGCAGGTAGCATTGTTACAGAATTAGTGGGTGGACCTCCTTTAACGAAATCACTTTCGGAATACAGATATTTGCCGAAAATGCTCTGCCCAAACCTGAAGAAGAACAACTCCCTTAGGGACATTGTGGTAAAGTTCGGCTGCCTTTGGCTAAATTTTGAGCCCTCTGCGAAGTAAGCTTCGTGAGCCAAATTAAGGACTAGGAGGTACTGCTCGCGAATTCCATGCGACCTATCTTGAACCCATAAGTTTGAACACATGGGCCCTGCGGTGATAATCTGGTTATCATCAAATAAGTTAAGCAAATTGGCGTCGTGGTCTTTACATTTTAGTGCAATCAAACCTGTTAGTATATTAATTCCAAAGCGGATTCCCAGGGGAATTATTTTAAAGATATCGTGGCTGTCGGGATCATAAGAAGGATCAGCCAAAAGGTCATAAGACAAATAAATAACATTTCCCTTATCCTCGATTTCGGTTCCAAAAAAATAATTTGAGATGGGATAAGAATGGAAAATATACCGCCTACCCTTAGTCACTGGTTGGTCTAGTAGACTCAGCTCGGCACGCGTTCGCAGCTCCAAAACTTTCAGATGGGCTGTCTCAAAATCCTCGTCGGCATCAAATTCAAGTTCCTTATAAAAATCGGTTACGAAACGGCGATGCCCGGCTTTTCCCGGTATGTTTCCAATACTCAGAGTCAAGGTTTTCAGCCACTTCTGGAGGGACGTAATTTCAAAGGTCGTCAAGTTTAGCGAGTTCCGTTCCACCCTGATGGTAAGCTGGTTGCGCATGGCTTCAAAGACCTTTCCGACCTGGTTCTGGTGGCTTCGTAACCTTTTGCGTCCCAGAATGCGCTCCTCGTATAGTAGATTGCTAGCGAATTCCAAGCAAAAGCGCATGGCATTCACGCAAGATTTGGTCCCACCATAACTTGATTTGCCCAGCGTGAAAATTGTGAAAAAGTGGAAGCGTGCCATAAGATAATTGGCCACGATCTGGCTATCGACGGTTTCCATTAATTCATGCAGATACAACAAGTAGTGTAGACTCTCCACCTGCACTTTAAAATCCGGTGGGAATTGGTGACCAAAGACGATCTCGAGGTATTTGCTCAGGGACAAACCAGCCGAATCCAGATTTCGTAGACTGAATCGATTTGTATCACTCTTTGCCAAATTTTCCCACTTTGTATCTGATATAACCATTTTTTGAAGCGCAGTATCCAGAGGCGATAACTCCATTACCAATTTCGGAGATAGGCCAAGACGAAGTAATGATTCCAAGAAGCGGAATTTAAAATCATACTTTTTTTCAAAAACCACAACGTGCTGACTAGTGTCCTTATCTAGTCTTACATTCATGCCCAACATAACGTCATTCATGCCATACCTACGAAGTCTTGCCAGGGTCTCTATCCAATTGAACTTTTCTTTGGGCCATTCACTTCCATCGGGTGTGAGATGGGGCCACGATAGGTTCTCACCAGGCGGCACCAGCTCAAAGTACTTTACAGGACGTGCTGCTTTCGACCAGCCCTGGCAAATTGTGTAGAACCGACGCACTTTCTCCTCTAAGCTATGCTCTTTAAAGATTTCATCATTTAGTCCATCAAAAAGAATTTGAAACTGTGTATTTACAATTGGTGATTCACCCCATTTAAGATTCTTTTGGGAGGAGTTGTAGAAATTCTGGCACGGCTTGCCCTTATCATCGATGCCACTAAGCATCTGATCCATGATTTTCAGATTAGCGTCTGAGTCACCTTCTACACTGCTTATCAATAGCAACATGCAGTTAATCCAAAATATTTGGCTGTTTTTCTTCATATTAATAAGGTGACGTCTTTCAGAAGTTTCCTTTTTTTAAGAAATTTGCGCTTTTGTGTGACCATATCTTTATTGTTAAAACCCACATGTTTTTATTTAGAGGCTTTGCCGCGTTCCGGTGTCACGAATTACAAGCGTTTTTTATAAAATCATCTATCAGTAATCCGATTCATACTATCCCAAGATTAGAATACGAACTCATATTTCTTTGCCCATAAAACCATTACAAACCAAAAGGTCACTTTGTGTAAAACTTTGCTCTAAACAAAAGCTGTTTTTATCTGTTAATACGATTAGCTTAGCAGTTTGTGGGATGAAAGGGGAGGTTGATTGAGGAGAGAAAATGCAAAAATTCACTTAAAGACTATAGTGTCCAGCATGGCGCCCAGGCACTGCACAATATTGTTCTGCATAACCTTGTCCACCTTCTCTTCCAAATGCCGCTTGGGGTCCTGTTTACCCACATTCTTGATCGCCAGCTGTTCGGGCGTCATTTTCTCTTCGTCCTCCAGAGACTGCAAGAATGCAAAGACAAATATAATTAACTTTGAACGCAAAATATTTGATTAAGAGCGATCAATAATTTTTTTAAATATTAAAAATTCCTACTTTGATTTTAGCTACCTCACTCAATAAAACAGAATGAATCATCATCCAAATTCATTAACTCACCTTGTTGTAATTCTTAGCCAGATCAAGCATCTCGGCCACGGTGTCCTCATTGATAGAACAGTGCTCGTTGTAGTCGGACAACGTGAGGCCGTCCTTCCAAGACTTTTTGTGCAGATTGAGGAGCATTTTCTGCTCCAGCTCGTTTTTGCGGTAGTTTATGCTGATCGAGTAGTAGTGGCGATTTAACCCATGGATCAGGGCCTGCACTGAGGGCTTTTGCAGGTGACCTAGATTGGAGGTGGTCTGCCGCGGCTCCTGTCCAAGGACCAACATATTGGGATTGATCAGTCGGAAGGCATCGATGACTACCTTGCCCTTGACGGACTGAATCGGATCGACGACGACGGCAACGGCTCGTTCCGAAAGCGCCTCGAAGGATTGTTGCGTATTGATATCTACACCAGAAAGCCAGCATCCGAAACCAGGATGCGAGTGATACCATCCGACGACCATTTCAGGCCGACCCGTCTGCTTCAACATGTCCAACATTTTAGCCTGGAAGACGGGATCCACCGCCTCAACGGAGACACCCGTGCCCGTTTGAGGCATGGCGAAGACATCGATGACCTGCACCGTATAGTCGTCAACGAACTCGCCCAGCATCAGACCCATCACCTCCATGGGAACACCGGCCCGTCCGTGCTTGAGCATCTTCAGGAGGGCCAAGGACGAAATGTACACCTGCTCGGCGGTATCCACGACGGGCGCATCTGTGGGCGGTGCAGCTTGTGGCATAGCGCCTCCAAGACGTAGCAGACGATCCATTTTATGCGGCTACCGAGAGCAAGACTGGAGTCAAAAACAATCAAATGACGCTGACTTATAGAAGTGCTCACCTCTGGGGTTTTTAGTCACTCTGTGTTCGAGGGCAAATATCACCTATTTCCTACAGTTTTACGTGTAATTTTATTTCCTCGACAAAAGCAGCAACAAAAAACACAAAGCCGTCTGTCTCGTTTGATTTTGCAGAATTGCAAGTAATACTCGCAACAGGGTTGTACCGCAGAAGGCTTATCGATAAGCTATCGGATGGAGCAGTTACTATTGTAGCCATTTTCCCGTTAGATATAGCTTTTTTTCTCTATGATGGATATGGTTTTATTTGTTTTAGTTTTATTCCGGTTAACTCAAAACTATTGTATTAAAACAAATATATATATATATATATATATACCTTAGCTTGAAAATTGTAGGCTTTTGTTCAAAAACGATTTTTTAAATTCATCTAAAAAAAATTGGGAATACATAATTAATTTAAATGTGATAGCCAACACTGGCCAACTTTCGAACACCAACCCAATTAGCGATATATATAATAATCGATAAGCAATAGTTGCGGGAAATTTAAATTTTTAAAAAGTGCCTTCTGCAAAAAAACTTACAGGACGTCGAATTGCTGAGAAAAGTGCATTCCATTCGTTTAATATTTTTTTTAACAATAAGTACGGCCTGTGGTTGCACGTTGAGTGAACCGAGGAAAACTAAGACTTTCCGCAAGACCGAACACCGAAAAATTTATAATGCACCATCCGCCCGTCAAATGCCATGGGAAAATGAGGTCTTCGCCGGCAAGACCGAAACAATTTGGGCAAGTACAATGCATATAGCCGACTTTTTTTTATTGTGCCAATTAATTGCACAAAAGCCTTTTGCCTTTGGATGCGGTTGCTTTTGCCTTTCACCTCGCTCTTGGAGATGAAGATTTAGAGCTTCCCAGATTCCCAGTCGCTCGAAAATTCGTTTAAAATGCCATCATATATACCGGCTACAAAACCAAAAAATCCATACGATTGCAACACTCAAACTACTCCATTTTCCGTCTCGCTTTGGTAATTGAACAATAGTTTTTCCATCTGCCAACAGACTTTTCCATTCGCCGCTCGGTTTTTCAGCTTCAGTTGCATTTTGTCGCTCGCCTCCAGCACGCGCTTACCACAATTGTTGTTAAACTTAAATATTTTTACATTTTTCGCTTGGTTAAACATTTTGCCGCTCGGTGTTCTGCAAGTTGGTAAAGATTTCTGCAATTATTTGCATACAAATTGCTAGTAAATAGTGCACTTATTTGCCGCAAGCGTAGCTAACTTCAGGTATTTAAATGAAATTGTTAATAATAATTCTAGCTGAAAGGTGGCGAATTTCAGCTGAGGCCGACATATTTGTGTCGATTTGTTATTTCGTTGTTGCCCTCTTATCATCAAACGAAACACAAACGAAATTTTTTTGTTGATAAGTGAGAGAACTGGAATTCAGAGAGCTTTTTTACAGGGGGAGTGCTCTACGATTACACAAAAAAAAAATAAATTATTTGAACTTTAAATGTGTATTTAAGGAAGTGTTAAACAAAATTTATCATGAGTTTAATAATTACTCTAATAAACCTTTTTAGTTATTTTCAATGGTTTTATTCATCCAATAATGTTGTTGTTGTGAGTTACCAATAAGTTTGTATCTCGGCTAGTAAACCCTCCCATTTTGGACTGTGTAATAGCCGAAACGTCACCTTTAATTACTTAAACAGCTGCTTGGTATTTACTTAGGGCGAAAACAAAAGAAACGTGCTCCATTTCACCATTGATTAAATATTTTCACATCTGACTGGAGTATCTTAAAAGCTATCATTGACCTTGTCAACGTTTAAATCAATCCCGTTCGATGAAATACCGTAAATGCACTCAATCTGGTTACAAAAAACGTGGCAAAAAAATATAAAGACGGCATTAAAGTGGAATAAACTGGGAGAAAAACACGTTTGTTCAGCTGTGAAATTGACCTTTTATGGCCTAAACTCAACCCAAAACCTCCCAAAACTGAAAACTTGGTTGGATCACTGCTGTTTGCGTTTAAAAGAAATGAGCGGAAATACTTTACAATGATAGCTGCTCTAATTGCTGCCAAAGTGGCTGGGGAACTCGAAGCAAAGAAAAAGAGAGGATAATAAGGGTCAGATGAGTAAAACTATTATTTTGGTTTTAGTCATTTGTTATTCTTGCATTGGGGAAATGTTTTCGGGGAATTTGACAGTGGAGTAACGAAATGTTTAAGACATTAAATATATAAAAAAAGGTTTTAAGTTGACAGTTAAGCCATCCCAAAATAAATTAAAATTAAATCCAAAAGCAATTCAAATTAAAATTGTTAGTAATATAAATTGCAATTTAAATTAAATAAATAATTGTTCAATGTCAAACAGAATATAAAGTTATCAAATTAATCCCTATTGACTTACCCAACTGAACCTTATCAAAGATGTCGTGCCTCTGATATCACATATAATTGCTGATACTGCCGCAAAATTTCAACAGAATTTCTTTTGGAAATCAAATATATGTTCACAGGTGTTTTAACTCATCTAACCCGAAGACCTTTAAGATCGGGTTGGTTTTTGTAACTAGAACAGCAAGATCCATCAACACCGCAGCAAAAACCGCACATGAAAAAGATCTCAAAAACAAATTTCGTAATTATCTGCAGGGAAAAAAACAAGACAAGAGAAAAAACTGAGAGTTGCATGTCTGGGAAACTGATTTAATTTCACTTTTCATTTTGGATTTGCCCAGCAAATCAGTGCAGCCAATGGCGAGCGGAAAGAGGAGTACGAGCATAATTATTAATTGCGGGCTAAAGAAAGTTTTAATTACCCTACGAGCGTTTAAGATAATGAAGTCGTTTATCTGAGGCATTCAATTATAAAATTGCTTACATTTTGAAAGTGCAACCAATGATTAGAAATTGATTTCAGCTCAATTTGCATTCAGTTCATTTTCTTACATTTACATATCTTGGCATTTCACTTTCCTATTGAGCACACGGGTAAAATCACAATGTTATTATCTAATTAACAACATGATGAAACTATTTATGTTTTATTCCTCGTTTACATAGTAACTGAAGAAATGATCTAATGCTTGATAAATTTTTAAAATCTATTAATATACTCAAATTTCTTATTTTGGTTTTACTTTTCTATGTGCAGAGATGATGACGTCGCTGCATATGGAGACGTCATTGCCGGTGGTGGAGGAGCAAACAAAGCTGGAGAAGGACAATGAGCTAGCGGAGGATACGCACACGGCATCCACAACGCCCACTCGCATTCCACATCCTGCTGTGGCCAATTTTCGGCGTTCCGCTTCCCTGCGCCTGCGCGGGAACCCATCGGAGCTTGGTTTACGGGCTGAACACTATCCAGCCGGCGGAGGCGGATTCAGTTCGCGCGCCAAGCTCACGGCGATCCCATCCAGTCTCAAATCGCGTTCGCATTCGGTCCACTTAAGGCGTAATCGCAGCTGGAGCAATTTAGGCCACAAAACGGAGCAAGAACCGGAAGTGGAAGCTTCCACGGAGGCACTATGCACCACCACCCAGTGTCTGTCCCTGGATAACGAGTTGGATGGCCAGCAAGTGGCCAACAGCATTATGGCCAACGGCAAACCGCGAAATCTGGTAAGTTGTAGGTGGTACCCAAGTACGTGTATTTCGTATTGATTTTCACTTGCCGCTGCTGACCTATGTAACTTGTAATCGAAGAACCGCCCTCGCAAGGAGGGTGAAAGGTTGCGAGGGGGTGGTGGCATACAACACACGTACTAGTAGTTGAATGTACATGATATATTACGAAACTATCTGGGGAACGCTCATAGCATTTTCCGGGAATTCGGGAGGAGTCTTTATACACTCCCTTAAATTCCCATTATGAAGTCAAAATTTGTATGCTTACCTCATGTGGACAGACTTTGAAGTAACTAAATACCCTACAGTCGTATCTATTCTAAAGGATCTAGAGGCCTGAAAACTTAAATTTGGGTTAATTTTTGGGAAGGACTATTAGATTGACTTTTTTTTTAAAGACAAAGCAAATGTTTATACAATACTCACTAACTGTTATTCATGACCTGTTAGCAACATGAGTGTGTAAACTTTTGAAATCTAATCTATAGTTAATTTAATTTTCACTTCTTGAGACTTTCCTTTTTTATTTCAGATATTTTATTTATGAATTAGGCATGTCGAGCCCCTGTAAAAAACAAATGATTACGGTTTTTACTTACTTTACATTAAAAAAGTTTAATGATTATACATATCTCCATTTCTGAAGAAATTATAGAAATCAGAAAAATATCTGGTTTTTATTGTATAATAATTATTAAACATTTTTTAGTCTAGGATGAACTGCAAAATAAAGGTAAAAAAGGTTTACAACCTTTCAACGCCAACGTTCGTAACTTTTGGACTATCGACTTTAGTTTCCTGGAAAGTTATAATTGATTTAGCTGGGTAATGGCATTTTGTCACTTGCAATTTTGTCGCTATCGTGATGACACGCAGCTTACTGTTTGTACTCTTCCCGCCGTCAGCGATCATTAAACCAGATATACTATATATGTACCGAACAAAAAGGGAACAAAAAATAAACCCAAAGCTGAGTTTGCATAATACTGGGGAAAGAGAGTAAGAGAAAGAAAGAAGAAAGGTGAACCCAAACACAGCTTACACACGCTTCACCTTCGAAACCCCCTTTCGTCTTTTTCTTAATACCACCCTCCTCCTCTTCTGAGCAGATGTTTCATTTCCACTTCCGCTTGTTCCGTTTGCCAAATTGTACCTAGGAAACAGCTGATTTTCGGTTTGTTTGTGTTTTCTTTTGATTGGCGGGGGTTGAGAGAATAGGAAATGCAAGTGCGCAGCTTTTTAAAGACCCCCCTTCCCCTTCTCCATCACATTTTGTTTTTGCTCTCTCCTCCTCTGCGTTTTTAACCACCTTTTTGATATTTTCTTCTGGGTCTTTTTCACTCTCTTCGCTTCTTGACCAAGTGATTTGCGTTTCAGTTGATTTTTTATACTCACCGCGTTCACAAGATTCGCGGTTCGTCTCTCTGATATTGTTTAAAATTTAAACCTTCTGGCTTAAACAATTGAAGCGTGCATTTTGCTTTTAATTCTCGGTTGGTTTTTTTTTTCGATCGCTTTTTAAAGTACCAACGTACCCAGACTAAGTACAGTGCGAGCGATTTTAATTGAAGACAACAACTTGGGGCCATGGCTCATAAATGGTAATTACGTGCCTTGGACTCCATCCTATACCTATGGGTATTTTAAGCCATTATTAAAAGTGGAAGTTCGTTGGCCCCTTTTGCATTTTTAATTCATAATTGTTATTGATTTTTCTGCTATAAGTTCTAATTATGTCAAAAATGTTCCAGTGAAAATGTGTGTGCTTTTTTGGGGTAGAAAGGAAGTGGCACGTGTGAATACATAATTATTTACATAGAGAAAATCAAAGCGTACTAAAAATATTCAAAAAATATTCAACCTCAAAGCTCATTTTAAGAAACACCATCAAGCTTTTCAAACAAGTTTGTATAATATTTTGTGACTTATTTTATGAAAGGCACTTGAGCTTTCCCAATGTCAAGAAATTACAGCAATTAGGGATGATTTATGCATTTAATCAAGACATACAGTAGAGTTTACAAAAGTGAAACCACAAACTGTAGAGAGTTGAGCTTATATAGAAATTAGAAAGGTGTAAAAGATTTATCTATGTGAACAGTTCATAAAACATTTTGATTTAAATATAAATATATGTAAATACCTTGAAAACAATAGCAAAGCCCATTACCAACCCTTTGTTTTTGCCTCCTTATGGACCCTGAAAAGTATGCAACATTTTCCAATATCCTTTTGTGTTTTAGCCAAAAAACTTGGCCAAAACAAACATTCTCACAGCGGCGAAAAGTGATTGCCAACACGTGACCAGAACATTTTGTCTTGGCCAAGAGCCAAGTGGTCTGAATTGGCCATTACGTGAGTTTGGTCTGATATTTTCACCTGCATTGTGTCTACCCATCTCTTTCATACGGAATCAAAGTCATTGATTTTTCTTAGTCAGCAGCTTAATTGATGGCACCTGAGCGCCGTATAAACTCTTTGATGGCCTTAAGTCAGACTCAAGTGCGTAATGTAACTATTGTTGTTGTTGACTGGGCGGTCACTTGTTACGTGGCAAAGTGTGTTGGCCCGGTTTACAACCTTTTCGTATTCCCCTTCCAAGTCAGGTCTTAACCATTGTTTAGCCGTGCGTAAAGAGTTTCTTTTTGCCAGCCATTCCAGAAATGCCGTGAAGTATTCCCCAGAACTTGGGCAATTAAATAGAGCAAGAAACTCATTACTGATTATGAAATCGACGTACTTAAATGTACACAAAGAATGAAGAGAATGCAAGAGGCAGTTAAACAGATTTGTCCAGATACTATGGCCCACTCTGCTATCCATACAAACGAATCGCTGACAACGGATCGTTTTCAGTCAACCAATTGATGAGTTGGTCAGTGTGGCAGAAAAAAAAGGGGTAACAAGTGGGACAGTGGTTCCTAAATCACTTCACAACGGGGACAGCTAAAGAACCAATGCAGTACAAGTCAATGAACTGTTTGCTTTGGTTATATTTATACTAAATGGGTTAGCTCAGCTAATTAACTATAATAGATGATTAAGTGACTGATTAGGTTTATTAGGGAAGCCTATTTTCATAGAGAGTTTCGTTATTTAAAATCTGAAGTAGTACAACGATCAATATTTATTTGCGTTTACTATCATTTACTATACAATTTATTTTGGTCAAAAATTTCCATTTGTTTAGGTATACCATGTATACTAGTGGCGAAATGGCAAGTTTATATATACGAATTTTAAAAATTTTAACCAAAAGTAAAAAATATATCGTTGACGATTTGATTAAAAAGGATGATTTGCCTTCAAATACAGCTGAGTACATTGTCATTATTTACAGAACCGTTTTTATGATCTTAAAAACAAATTAGTATTAATTTTAGCCCTAATAGCTTTCCTAGAAACAGTTTAAAATGATTTTGCTCTAGTTTTAAGCTTATTTGTTTACTTTCCAGCAAGCAAATTGGAGAAATTTATGCATAATTTGTTTGAATTTAATGATTTAATCGAGGCAGCTGCGATTTAAGTTAGTCGGTTAGTCTTATTTAAGCCCAGCGGCTAACTAGATAAATGCAAAATACTAAATACCCCCTTTGAGACCCAGACTAATGGGCAGTTAATTGACCACAAAAATGCTGCTGAATCGTAGGAGCCAAAAAAGGGAGGGGAATTTAGAGAGCACCGCAATGAAAGTAACCAAAGCGAATGCGAATACAAACCGACAATGTTTTGTTAAATATATGGCAACAAATTGGTTTTAGGGGCGTTGCGAATGCGAATTGGTTTACCCTGCATTTCACGCGGCTATTTCTTGTTATTTTTTTTTTTCTTTTTTTTCGAAAATCTCACAAAAATCCATGCACGACTGACCAGCGACCACGCAACAAAATTAGAAAATAGCTAAAGAGTGAAACAAGAGTGTAAAAAGAAAAGAAATACAAAAAGATTAAGCTATCGAGAGACAGCGACCACATCGGCGAAATATAGTTACTAATCCCAGTCTCTGATCTTCCATCCTCCATCTTCCATCTCCAATTTTGCAGTCTCTCAAGTTGAACGGCGGCGGTGACATCAGCAGCAGTGGCACTTGCACGGCCACGGGCACAGCCATCATCAAGGAGTCGTCGCCCAGGACTCCTAGGACGCCCCAAACTCCTCAAACGACGTCAACCGGTGGATCAGCCTCCACCGCAGAGACACCACCGCCACACAACTGCATTCGCCAGGCAAATTGCGTCAAGGCCGCGGGGAAGCTATCAACTCTGCACGAGTCCAAGATTTCACCCCGGACTCCGCCTGTCACACCGGATTCACCCAGTACCTACCTGGACGATGATCTAGACTCAATGTACTCATTCGCCACCACCACATCGGGCCGCTCCACGATGTCCTGCGAGCATCCTTATGTAGCCAGGTAGGGGGTAATTCCATGTCATTTATTGAAACCCCAGGAGTTTTATTAACTTCTATAAACCTTGATTAACTTATTCTTTAAATTGAGGGCTGTAAATGCATAAGGAACTTCATTAAGATATACAATTTCCATCCTGCAGAAACGGCACTACCTTCAGTGGACGCAAGATGAAGTACGTGGTGCACTGCTCTAACTACGCGGGTCAGGTGGGACCTGACTATCTCACGCCGACACAGCGAGCACAACGTCAGATCCGTCGACTCAAGGAACTGCTGAGCATTGCCCGCCAGGATCTCGAGCAGAAGGATACGGAAATTCTGCGACTGACCCGCGAGGTGGTGGAGCTGCGCCTGTTTAAGGCATCGCTCAGTTCGCCAGAAGAACGCTCCGCTTCCTCGGATGCGGTCACCGTGCGGGAAGCAGAGCTAAAGACCTCGCAGGATGTGTCGCCCATCGTCGACATGGTGGACGAGGGCAATGCTAAGGGCAGTCCGCGGCATCTTAGCCGGCAACAGCAGACGAATCACTCCCTGCAACATCAGCAGTTGCAGGCCATGCAGATGTCGGCGGAGATGCAGAGTTCCTACGCAGACTCCGGCCACTTTGAAGACCTCACTATGTCGTCGGTGCACTCGAAGGACTCGCAGACGCAGAGTGAGGCTTGCGGATCATCCACGCCTGATGGTGAGCCGGATGTGGCTTGCGGTGGAGGTGATGGGTCCAGCAATCTGGAGAACTACGAGCTGCAGCGACAGGAACTGATTCGAATGTATGAGCACCGGATCGAGGAGCTCATCCGAAGCCAGGACAGTGCTACTAGCGATATGAAGAGATCACACAACGACAAGGTGGAGGCCCTGCTCCAGAAACTAGCCGAGTGCAACACCCGATACTCGGACATGGTGCCCGACTACGAGCAGGCCAAACAACGCATCCGAGAGCTGGAGAAGCAATTGGAGGACTTGCAGCGAAAGTTAGTCGAGCACGAGGAGAAGCAGAACAAGATGTACCTGCATATGTACCAGCAGGGTCAGGAGGCAGAGCGCATTTCTAGAGCGGATCAGGTATGACTTTTTGTCTGCAAAACCTAAAACATAAAGCTTAAGGCTTCTAAGATCTGATAAATTATAACCTTATGGACTTATTTCCTTCCTAGGCCCTGGACTTGGCACAGCGTCAGCCGGAGAGCAAGGTGTCGATCAATGAGCTGCTCCACCAACTGCAGAGCACCCAGGACGAATTGGAGAACATACGCGTAAGATTCTTCAATATATTCCTCATCTTATTTTCGGTTTTGTTTTGTGTGTTGCATTTTGTTGCATCGTGAGGCATCTCAGCTCCAAAACCGTCACAAGAACAACAAGAACACAACTCGACAAGAACATGAACAACACGCATTCGCTTCACATTTTGTAACCATTTGCTTGCGGGCGTGGCACTTCAATTGGGCTGACTTTGCCTGGCTGGAAAAGCGGCACTTAATTGAAATGCCCGCCAATCAGTTAATGACAATGATCCGACACACAAGCGACATTTTCGTATTATTTCGTTTCTAGCTGTTAAGATCATTTTGCATATAATATTATTTTCTAGCAAGATTACAACACATTTAAACTTACATTAAATGCAACATCGTTTACTTTCAATTCGTTTGATTTGTTTCATTTCCATTCCGTTGCGAGTTCGATTAGCCTAAGTACAGTCACGTAGTGCGGAAAGCAGCGAGCAAGCAAGTGCATGCAAGTAACCAAGTACAGTTGACTCACTTACGTTCATATATAAATTTCGAATCGTTTCCAATCGCATGCTGGATTTTAACTTTAGACCTCTTTCTCTGTATTTCTCTTTGGTTAAGTTGTATATTTTTACTTTAATTTACTTAAAACGAAAAAAAAGCAAAACAACTCTTTCTAAATTTTTCAAATATTTCTGTCGTAAAACAACCAAAAACCAAACTATTTTTGTAGGCATCAGAATGCAGAATGAGAGAGTGCGGCAGTAATCATGCTCTCCTTACTGCAAAAGAGGCGATTTCTTTGTGGGTACTTGGCGCGCGTAAGGTTTGTAATATCCCTAACAAAGTTCCCCCCAAAATAATCTACCCAACTAACTTTTGATTTATTATGGCAAAATTATTGAAAAGATGAACAAAAAATCAATTTTTAGTTACATTTTATGATTTGATCACGCACATTGGCTATATCGAACATTGGGTCTTACCATCCAGAAATCCCACACCCTCACCTCACCTCTCGAGACTAACCAGCATTTTCATCCGCATTTGCGATCATGGGCCAGGGTAAGGTTATTGGGTTACAAGCAAAACTATAACTTCGAGATCTTATAAACATTATAATATTTTTCCAATTTAACATATATATTAATATTCTGTTTTGTAAGTACTTGTTGTTTCCAAACAAAATCTGTTTTGTAGAGGTAACAACTAGAGGTATGTTCAACATCATTCACACATAACACAAAAGCGGCTAGATGAGCTCTCGATTCGAGCGTACCAGACACACTAAAAGCTAATCTCTATCTAAGATCCATTTAGCATGTGGTTCATCTCAAGTTAAATTCCAATTAAAGCCCAAAAAAAAAAAAAAAAACCATAACCGTTCCCGAAAATATTCAGTGTTACATACATAACATTATAACCTAAATGTTCATATGGCATAGCACTACTACCAAAATTAAAGCGAACCTTTTGTAAATACATTTGATTTCAACGACTAACCACACTTTCGATTATGAGTTTGAATTTATAATTCTGACTAATCTTCTCTACTCTTTCTTGCACTTTTTCTCTTTTTTTCACTATTAACTAAACTGATCAATGTACAAATGTATAAACAAAATAACAACAACAATTTAGACCATATACCGTCGACTGCTCGAAGCCCAGAAGAATCGCACCCATGTGGATCCGGAGGTGACGCTACAATTCCTGAAGAGCGCTATCTTCTACTTCCTGACGGACAAGGAGAATTCCCAGGGCCATTTGCAGGCCATCGAGAGCATCCTGGAGTTCACCGATGCCGAGAAGCAGAAGATCAGTGCCGCTACCCGAACGCCAAAGTGAGGTCGCCGATCATCGTTAATCATTGCGTATACTTATTATTAACACTTAGATTGCACGCGAAAGTCGGCAAAACGATGTCTAAGATTTTTGTTCGAGCAAAATTCCATTGTCTTCAGAATTGGTCTTAAAAGTTAGCTGGCGATTTTAATTGCAATTTTATTTTTTTTTTCGGAATAATTTTGTTAAATTATTGAGGCGCCTGTTTTTCTTTATTTTTGGCAACGAAATGTATAAATTTTCCTATAAGTTAATTTTCGAATTACGTGTTTTCTTTGGTATAAGGCTTAAGGCATACTAGTACGTCCTTTATAAGAATACGAAAATCTTAAGAGAAATACAATTTTACAAAGTCTACGTAGTTTTTGTAGAACTAGCTAATCATATGAGAATAACACCATGAACTTTTGGTCGTTTCAGTGGAGTTTTAATGGCAAATAAATATAAATAAATTGGAAATTATGTGCGTTTTATATGTGGGTGGTATTAAATTCCAGCACTTATGCAAAGAACTTGTAAATTCTTTATGAATATTGAGTCTTACACGTATTTTCTTCATTCCAGATCAATAAAATATTTCTAAATGTAAAAGAGATTTATAAAAACGATCGTAATTCTCGATAACTTTGGATTGAGTACAAGCTAATTGTTAATCAAAGGTTTCCACCATGTCGCGTTTTCTATTTGTATATATTTGCAATCCCAAAACACGGTCACACTTTTCCCTCTTTTCGATTTTTCGTTTCCGGCGTGTAAGTGTACAAAATTTCTGCTCCACGTTTTTTTTTCTATTTTATTTAACTTTAATTCTTTTCCACGTCAACAGAATACTGCTGGCGAATCGTTCTTGTGTTTAACACATCTATAAAAACAGCAAAATGGTATGCGGACCTGAAAATTCACTGTGAAATGGAAGCTAACCACATTTGTAACCCTCTATTATTGACAGGCCAAGCGCACCAAGAAGGTTGGAATCGTTGGTAAATATGGTACCCGTTATGGTGCTTCCCTGCGTAAGATGGTCAAGAAGATGGAAATCACCCAGCACAGCAAGTACACTTGCTCGTTCTGCGGAAAGGTGAGTTGCCCCAGCAGTGTGCATCAGGGTGGACCAAAAGAGAACGAACAGTGATACAAGTCTTGGGAGAAAAATATCAATGGACATTTAAATTCCTTCTCTTCTTTGGGCACCCAACTTGCACAACTTTGTATATAGAATCTTACTAATTAATTTGTATTCTCTGCAGGATTCCATGAAGCGTGCCGTCGTTGGCATCTGGTCCTGCAAGCGCTGCAAGAGGACCGTTGCCGGTGGCGCCTGGGTGTACTCCACCACCGCCGCCGCCTCCGTGCGATCCGCCGTCCGTCGTCTGCGTGAAACCAAGGAACAGTAAACATCAACGGATCGTTATGGAATCATCTAATCCAATGCTCCGCTATGCTAGTTTCCGTAGTTTTAATCTGACAACGCGATTTTCCTGTGGTTTGCGCCGTGCCGGTCATGTGAAAATAAAAAATGCTTTTTACTTTTATCAGTATACAACAGTGAAGATTATTTACGTGGAAAATCAAAGCAAATTGAAGTGATAAAAGGCGGGCAATGAATGTTCCATATTTAAAGTATATAAAAACGTGGATTTAATTCATATAAACTGTTATCTACGTTTCTGATATCAACATCTGTGATCTAATGGAATCTTAGAACGCCTTAAGCTTGTAGAGCTAAATGGTTTCTTATCATTCGCATTCAGTTTTCATAACGATTCATTGGTTTTGATATTCTACTCAACTGATATTGATAAGAAAAATCCGTTTTGATAACAATACATGAATCGTGCATTCTTGTGATATTATTGATTCGTAGTTGAAGAAAGCGCAAGTTTGTTCAGTTTTTTAATAAACCATGTTAAAGTAGCCACAATTACCAAGTACACCAGCAAGCACTGCGTACTAGAAACAATCTGAACTCAATGAATTACCAATGCACAGATAATGTCTTCCATGACAAATTCTCAGCTTATTGATATTGCCGCAAAAATTAAACAGAATTTTGTAGATTTTTCTCTTAAATTGTCATCTTTTTTATTTATAAAATTTAAAAAGTCTCTAAACAAACAAAAATAATAACTAAATGAAAAATTCATAAAATGTTGGCTTACATTCAGTTTTGTGTTATCATTCTATTTTTGTTTTGAGAGATTTTACAATTGAGAATGGAGAAACCTATATTTAGCTAAATATATAAATCAACAATTTAAAACATATAGGCAGCTATATTGTTGCAGTGTAGGCCAATATATAGCAGTTACACAGCGTAGATAAACACTAGTTTATAGGATTGTTTTCGGGAGAGGATATAGACCTGCCTGTGTTTGTTGCTTGATTGGATTCGTTTTCCTGTTTCATGTTATTTTATTAAATTTTAATTAAAAATTGCACCGTCACCAGTTAAAATAGTTGCTATTTTGACATATGTATATATCGTTTCACTATAACTATGGGTTTTCTTCATACAATCGTCTGTTTTAAAAATAAATTTAGCTAAAAAGTTTTACTTGGCCTGTGTCTCTTATCGGTTTTCTGCTGTTACTGTCAAGGGTCGTCTGTGGAATATCGTTCTTAGTCAGGTTATCATCATTCATTCATTCTTTTGATTGAAATACTTTTCGAAATATTTACACAATAGCTGAGAAAGTTGGGTTCTTAAATTTTGAGCAATATTTAGTTAGTCCGAGAGCTATTGTTGAATGTTATGCAAAACTTTGACTAAATCTAAATTTAATTTAGAACTTAACGTTTAAACCTAAAACTAAATGCAATTTATAGTACAGTTTTGCTTGCTTTGCATATGTATATGTATATCATATAGGTACTACATAAATATTTTATTTAGATGTATATTTTTAATAGCTACATTAATCGTATTTACATTATTTTCTCTCATCGTTTAGTTCTCTTTTGAATGAAGTTTATAAATATTTTTACACTGTATTTATGATATGCGTGCAATTTTTTTTTAGAAATTTCATTTTATATATTTTTCCATTGTATAATGATTATGGTTTTAGAAGCATTTTCGTGTAATTTCTTGTTTGTGATATGAAGAGCGCGTTATTTTGGTACAAAGCAACAGATTTTCTGATATTTGTTATAGCCTAAAGTGTGGGAGCAGGGAAAAGTGCACGGAAAAAAACAACCCATAAAGTGACTTAAAAATTTAAATACAAATAATCAAGATCAAGAAGTGTGGATTTCTTCAAGTACAATTCTAGCTAGGAATGTCATGTGCTTAGGGTTTTCAGATGAGGAGAGATTAGAACCTTCTTCATCACTGCGGTATATTAATAGGTTAAATTATTTTCTGCTATGACACACTTGTGGCAAATTGCTTGGCCTGCATTTGCTTTGATTTTAATTTATGTACTTTTTAAAATTATATTCTGTGAAGCACAAAACGTCAGTTAAATGCCAATTTATTGGTACTTGGTCGAAGCTAATGTAAATTTACATTACAAATATATATATATATATATACCTAGATAAATCGTAGAATTGCCTGCCTATATAAACACATACATATACATGCATATCATGTAAACAGATAAATCTAAGTTTTTAGTACTGACTCTCACGCACTCACACACGCGTATCAAGATTTTTGGGAAGACATCCTGCCGCCGGTAGACTTTTCCGGCTGCTGAAACACACTCACGCACACAGAGACAGAGAGATACATATTTGCATAGAGAGAGAACTTAGATCCGAACGAACTTAGGCCTAAGTAAACGTCAAAAACAAGAGCCAGCATGGATTAAACATAAATTGGAAGTTCTCAGTAATATAGTTAGTAGGATCCGTTGAGTTTAGTTGTAGTCGGGTGTACCGCCTTTGCGATCTAGCTAGTGAGCCTGCCACTTGAACTTCGACTCCATCAGCCACTGTTGGCCCTTTCCGTAGCTGCAGGGACGCAACAGCGGCGTGTTGGCATCGTCCCGTGTGGCACGCTGTAAGCACTGACCTGTATTCGTGTGGCGGATCCACTTCTCCTGTAAAAGAAATAAAGATGAGGCAATTTTGTAGATATTTTGAAGATGATTTAATTACCTCCGCATCGTAGACCCACTCTTGATTGCCGCCCATGTTGTGGCAACGCACCATATTAACGGGGCCATTGGAGCTGGATGCATCCAGGCACAGATCATCGGACATGATCTGCTGCCGCTTGGTGTAGGCGAACACCTGATTGCCACCCAAGCCATGGCAATAGCTGATGCCCACCTTCTCGTTATACTTTCTGCCCATCGTGTCCAGGCAGGTTTCCGTTTCCGCATTGCGGATCTGTTAATAGGTTAAATATGAGTAAAGGATTTACAATCTTATTACGAATTTTCAACTCACCTCTCCCAGATAGTAGTAATCCAATGGCATTAAGCTCTCGGGGTAAACATTCTCCAAGTACCAGCGGAAACTCTTGCATTTGAGACGATCACGCAGAGCCTTACGATCGCTGACATCGCCAGCGGAAGCTTTGCGAGCCCCTAAAGATTTTTTGAAGAAATTGCAATGAGGAAATAAAATAGGTTAATAAGGATATTCGGGTATGTAAAAACATAAAACATATATGCTGACGAGTGTTTTGTGTATTAGAATCTAGGTGTGTGTGTTTGTTAGAAAGGCAAGTTAAAAATGCGTTTGTGATGGTATATAATAATTACAACAGAATTTGTGCGGGTGATGAAAGGTAAATTAAGTTATTAAACCGCAAATATTCTTGGTGTATAGTTAGTTAGTCCACCAAAATCATGCAATTCATAAAAAAAATACATATATGCAGTACAAGAATTAAAAGCTTTACAACTACATTTCTTGCAAAAAGCAATGCCAATAATGGTATCTACAAGTGTCTTAAGCATTTAAACATATATTAGGCAGCTTGTGGTACTAAATAAAAGCTTAAACAAAAATACATCACCAATATAAGTTTACTTTGAGTTAAATTATGTGTAGGTAAGCTAAAATAAACAAAAACTGGGTTTCAAGGAAGTTTCTAACCATTCCCACTGATTTTTATTTAAATATTTAAACCTTTGTGAATAATTCCTTAAAATATAGTTTGGAGATGGGGACTCACAGAGGACAATGACAAACAACGGGTGTGTGTTTATAGGGGGGTGGAGGGGACAAAAACAAAACCAAAACGGAACTTAAAAATGACACAAAAAACACTGAGAACAATTAATGGGAAACTGGGAACCAAAAAAACAAAAAACATTTTGCAAATCAAAGATAAGAGGTGAAGAAAGGCAAAAATTTCGTGGTTGGATTCAGTTGATTGATCGGAGGTTTGCTATTTTTTATTTATTTTTTTTTTTTGGATTTGGATTTGGATTTCGGTCACGGCCATGCCATAAATCATAAATATTGATATAAATATTCATTATGTGTGTATATAGATAGACATTGCATAATGCAGGGCGTGCTGCTTGCGCTCGAGATATATATATTATATAGTATTATGCAGAGATATATTATACGAAACAAAACACTATTTAAGAGACAGACAATAGAAAATTAGAGAGTGGAGAAAGAACGTGAGCATGAGAGAGAAAGTGGAGGAGCATTCTGTTGTTTTGTTTTGTTGGTTTTTGGTTTTCTTTAAAATATTTTTTTGTGGATTTTTTTTGTAGTTTTTTTTTTTTGTTAACCTGGATAAAAACTGTAGTAGAACTCTTTCCAGTCGTCCAGCCAAACCTCGACCAGACGGGCATTATTGTGATTGACTATCTCCGTGGTGCCGCCGGGGAATGTGTACGGCGTAGACTTGCGGAACACGTGACCCACACGGGAGCAGGGCGCGATCTCGAGCACACCGCCGCACATCCACACCTGATTGGTTGGATTTCGGGTTGGTTTTTCATTTGGGGATATTTTTATGTGTGTTTTTGTGGTTGTAATTTTTTCAATTTTACAATCGAGCAGTACAATCGAGCATTTTGTTGGTCAAAGAGTGGACGAGAAAGATATACACAAAGATATATAATAAATAGAAATTGTTGTTAAAGAGCAGTTTAAGCCAAGCCTAGCTTTTCTGCACCTCAAGCCCTAAGACATTTCAAATGAGTAGGAAGGTGTCTTGAAGTTCACAAATTTCCAGAAGAAAACAAGAAGGAACGGTCCCTTAAAGTCAATGTTAAGTTTGGGAATTATAAGCACTTCGTAGGGAGTTTAGAAAAAGGAGATTTTCTGTCTTTGCTTTGATTTAATTAAGTTAATTAATTACTGAAGTATTTCATAAGTATATTAACTATTAAACTACCAGTATCAACACCTGCGAAGTGCTTATCAAACCACACCCAACCCTCAAGACAACCAGAACACAAAAAAAAGATCTAAGAAAATATTAAATATTAGTTACAACTTAGGGTAATAAACGGAATATTAAAATTAATTACCAATTGGTCAGATACTTAAAGCATAATTAATAAGCAACAAGTTAAGTGTATGTAAGTTATGTTTAGCTTAGGTTATCAACTCGTTATTACTGGATAAACTGGATTATAATTGTATACGTTAATATACCTATGTTTAGTATTAGCAACATGGTTATCAAATCTTAGTTAGCTGAGCTTGATTCTTGAGATGATTCTTAATTCATGAGAGAGATCATGATGAGCATGAGCATGAGCAAAGGAAAAACTGAGAAGTTGAAGGAACATCAAGAAGAATTTTCATTTGTGGAAATCATAAAAGGAAACATACTAATTAGGTTATGCCAGAGTGCGGTTATAAGAAGGAAAGCTTGATGTGATTTCGGTCATCGATTTGGGGGAGCTCTCTGAGTTACATGACATATTTAAGGATAGCTAATTATATATAGTTTTTTTTTTTTGGATATATATATGTAGTAGTTACACGAAATCATTAGCTATTGATTAGTTTTATGCTCCAAAAAAACATATCAGCTTGATTTAATGTTGTGTTTGTGAGTGTGTGTTAGTGTTTTAGTGGGAATCTTTTCGATAGGTTTTTTGGTTTCTTTCTGTCTGTTAGCGTTTTAAAGCCAATTACGAATAGTTAACAAAGTAATTCTTAAAGTTAGGAGTTAGATGCACGCAATTTAAAATCGACTTGTGGTTGGAAATGTTATTTGACTGTTTAATTTGTTGATTTGTTGGTTGATTTGTTTGTTTGTTTTTTGTTTTTGCGAACCTGTGCTCATCGAATAATAGAAATCACGCCACTCGTCCAGCCAAACTTCGGCCACTCGTGCGGCATTGTGTAGCACAATTTTGGCCACACCGCCGGGGAAGGTGTACGGCGATTTGTCACGGAACACGTGACCCACGTGGGAGCAGGGTATTATTTCTAAAATGCCTCCGCACTGCCAAATCTGCGGGTTATCATCGATGATTGTTGTAATGGTTTTTGTGTTTTTTTTTTTTTATGTGAGTAGAAATAAATTTGTTTCGTTGTTTTAGCTCAAATTTAAAGACTTAAATTAAATGTTTCATTAACAAAAGTTAAAAAAAAAATATTTCGAAATTCTTAAATTTATGCAAGTTCTGAATTTAATCTGCAGCTTGGCTTGGCAGCTAAGGAAAAAAAGTTGGAACAAAACAAAAAAAAGAAAAAACGAGAGAAAAGCTATCTGGAAAATGCTTTGATATTGCCTTACACGGAACGACATCTCCAGATTCTCGCCGCCCCAAATGTCCATGCCCTCGTCATAGGAACCAATCTCATAAAAGTAATCCTTATCGATGGAGAACAGTCCACCAGCCATGGTCGGAGTCCGGAGCGGTGCCGTTCTGTCGTTATTCCTGCGCGCCATTTCTCGTGATGGTACTCGATACCTTAAGCGGATTAAAGAGTAGTATTATAAAAGGATTACTCTGACCCTGGACACTACTCGTCACTCACCATCTGAAGTTCAGCTTCCAGTTGAAACCACCCCACGTGGAATCCGAGGCTGTTATATACTCGAATGTCTCATCGGAAATCACATCAATAATGGGACACACAACCGTTCGACGATTCTGCACGATTCGCGCCAGGAGAGGCTCAAGCCAGCCTTCCGTGCATTCACAATGGGCATCCAGGAAGGTAATAACCTCACCACTTACATGCTCGGCTCCAAGGAGACGGGCCCGGATCAATCCCGAACGTTTCTCTGTGCGCAGTACAAACGTCTTTACGGGCAGCTTGGCTACATACTCCTCCAATTGCTTGCCAAGGAAGTCTGTAAGATGAGATGTTATATAATAATGATAGCACATTGTAAAGACAGATTATTCTGTTAATTATACACCTTCAAGGACCACCCCAACTTACCCCTTTCACTGGCATCATCCACCAGAATAATCTCCTTGAGCAGAGCACGAGGCGACCGATTGATAACGCTCCATACTGTTCGCAGCAGGGTCGTCCAGGCTTCGTTATGGAAAACTATCACAATGGAAGTGGTGGGTAGCTTGGAGGCATAATGTTTGCGGCGACAACTAAAACGGAGGAAAATGTTAAAAACCAGTTTAACAATGTGAAAGGATAAAATAACCCTCACCCTTCATGTCGCACATCAGTCAGTGAGCGATTCAACGAGATCATGTCACTGGCCAACAGATTAAACTGGTTCTCCTTGAATTTCTCCTTCATGAGATCCTTCATGTCAGCTGGTATCTTAACCGGCTTGCCCATCTCGCCCGGCTTGCCCTTGGCTTCCTGCACAGAGGGCGCCAGGAACCACTTCTTTAGCACCACACTGGGATAGGTCATGGAAATCCCACCCGGCGCAAAACCTTGACCCATGATTATAGCTCCTCCAGATTCACCATCCAGGGATTTCTCTGTATTTATCTCATTATCGTCCACCAACTGATTGTCATCCACCAGGCGTTCGGCATTGGGTAGCTAAGTGATACAACCATTTGATTAATCAGTAAGTTAAGGATGTCGAAGCTTCAAATATTAAACCCACCTCCACGTCATACTCCCCGGATCTCTTGCAGCGCCATCCATCCTTGCCAATGCAATCCGAATAGCGGGCAATCAGGACAAAGTCAAAGATCACCCAGACAAGCGAGGTGAGCAGGACGATCCGGCAGGTATTCGAGCGCATGCGCCCGCGCATTTTGCGTGTGAATGTGGAGAAAGTCATGATTGTTTGAATATCTGTTAACTATCGTTAGTTTGCTATATAGTCCTTGGTTAACTGCGAATTTTGGCGATTTGGGGGTGTTGTATATATTTTGAAGATGTGGAACTAATATCTTGGTTTAGTGCGGGGCGATCATGTTAGTTAGTACCCTGTTTTTATATTTATATAGTTGACGATATGTTGATGTGTTTTGTCTTATGTTTAAAACGTTTATGTTGCTGTATTTTGTGGTTGGTTGTTTATCAATCGTTATCAGACTTTTATCGCTCCCTCAAGCGTGAAATGTTATTAATTTTGTTGTTGTTGTAGTTAATGTTGGCACATATGGGAGCTCCTCTCGTCTCGTCGTCGTCGTCACCCTCTCTCTAGCTGTCTGTCTATGTGTCTCCCTTGCACTCTCGCTCATGCTAGCCTTCGGTTTGACCTTTTGACTCCGCCTAAGAGTTTCTATTGCCGCATCCTTTTGCCAAGGTCCAGTTTCGCCGCGGACTCATTCCCGGACCACAGCTTCTAGTTTTAAGCCAACACTTTTCCTACTTTGCCTTTGAAAAATGACGACCTTCGTTTTATTATTAAACTGCAAAGAAAGGGAAAAAAGAAAACAATTAACATCATGATAAATCACATTGCTATAATAACGAATAGCTGTGGAAATAGAAATGAAAGTTATGATTTCATATCGGTTGCCGTGATTTATTTTTATACGCCGATAATCATATAAACGCTTTTTGTTACCAAATAGATATACAGATAATTGATCTCAATTTATTTTAGTGTTGTGTATTCATTTCGTTTGCTATTTGCTGAGCAATTTTTTCACCATTTTGGACAGCCGCATATGTTAGAAATTAGTTTTGATAAAGATAATTAATTAGAAAGAGCATCCCTACCATGAAATAAAGGTTATGAGTTTGTTCTCAATATAGGTTAGGTTATCTTTTAGTTGTTTTACTGAGTAAACCAAGTTTACTATGGAAAAAGCTAGCCCAAAATCTCTAAAATATAAATGAAATTCTATCTCCAAACAGAATGGCATGAGTTTCCCTTAGAAGCAAATTAAATTTTTCTGAAAGCAAAACATATTTTTGCAGGAAATAGAATTCCAACTGAAGCAAACAGCTAAATAAATTTGATTTTTATTGATATTTTCATTGGTGCGCCATTTGAGTCCGTATGGGAAAACAACGCAAACATTTTCCATGCAAATTGCGAAACTCCTGCATCGATAAATCGCATCAAAGCTTAACTTTCAATACCTCTTTTCCGGCTTGGATCTGTCTTTTTTTTTTTTGGATCCCACCGCGAAATCTGTAGCCCGTTGTCCCACCAAATGCCAAAGGCAAGTATAAGCAGCAAAGCAAAGGAGTGAAGAAAAAAAAAACAGTTTTATTTCTCTCTCTCCAAATGCCGTTTTGGCCAAAAATTCCATTGACAAAGGTCATAGTCGCAGGCAAAAACAATAAGACAAGCAGCATCAGATCCAGCAACTCACGCCAAACGCCAAACAAGCTGTCAGAGAGAAAGGGAGAGGAGCTAGCAAGATGGAGTGACAGAGGGGGCTAGAGGAGCTGTGGAGCACTGGCCAAAAGCGCAACAACTCTTAACGGTATTTTTGCCGGGGCTTTTCTGGCTTAAGCCATACTCTTTTTAAGGGGTATTGACTATTTTTAAAACAAGTTTAGCAGTGGAAAAATGAATGAATGATTTTAGGTTACTCAAAGATCTATAATCTGATCTTTAGATAGACGCTGAGATCAGCTTAAGACGTGTAATTTGCCAAACCATTTATAGGTCACCTTCGGTTAGAGTATACAAAACTTCGATACTCATTCCAATTGAGTTTTTTCTGCATCTTTCTGTTTTTTGTGCACATAACGTGCCTTTGAATCATTCATAAGGCATGCGACGTCAACCTCGTTGAGCGGCAAACTAGACAAGACTACGGGTCTGGGAGATCGTAGTCGGAAAAACCAGTTTCCCACCATCCATCCGACATTGTGCTACGAGCACACGCACACCACACCACTGCCACTTGGGCAAGGCTGCCTGCATGCCTGCCTGGAGGCGCACTAGCAGATGTGGATGCAGTTCCAGAAGTGGGTGCCTTTTGGGTTTGGGCATCGAGGTAACACTCTGTTTAAATATGCAGTTGCATGTACAAGACCCCAAAAGAGGCAAACTTCAGTGGCGCTCACTGGAGAGCCCTTTCAACCATGTCGGGGGTCCATCAATAATACATTTGATAACAAGGAAATGTGAAATATAAATTCCAGTTTTCCATAATTATCCAACATTTCTTGACATTTTCTTGATAAAGTTCCGTTGAAAAGAAGAAAAATTCATAAAAAAAACCAATGCTTGATAAAAATGCGAGTGCATTTAAAATGATTAATAATTCAGGACAGATTTCAACAAAAATATACAATTGAAAGGTCATTCCGCGAAGTTTTTTTAATACCCTGAAAACTTTATGGCAACCGAATGTGATTCCTCATATTTGATAAATGAAACTGAAAAACAAACTTCCACAATTTATTACGTGCGGCAAAAGGTGACCCACAAAAAAAGTTTAGAATAACTATTACATCAGCAGTCCAAGGGTATAAAAAAACCACCTTCATGCGGCTAACAAAAAGGGCATTCAAAGCTTTCGGATTCAGCAGGTTTTTATCGCATTTAAATTAATCAAATTGTAAGAGCTCTGTTTCACGGTTGTTTATGCCACTGCCACTGCCACTCATTTGCATGGATATTCCACTATAGACAATTCAATTACAATTATGTCAAATGAATACATTTCACAATTTCAAAGTTCTGCATGAAAAGAGCATAATTGCTTTGGTAAAATGTTGGAATTCAATTATCCACGCACACATGTCCAAAATGGAATTGCAATGGATAGGGGTACCTACTACTACTACCCTGTCGATGTTACGCTTTGTGAACTGCTAATTGACAGGTAATCAGTTTAACTGCTGAAAACAGCGAACGAAAGACAAATATTTTTTCATAAATTTCAGTAGGCTGGCAAAAGTATATATATGAGAAATTCCAATCAAAATTAATCATTATTAATCACACTTTGCCATCACATTTTGCTCAAGAATTAATTGAATTATTATCTGATAACCATATTCAATTATAATTAACTTGATTATAATGCCATCCAAGGCAATTGAAACTCCAAGAGACTGGCAAATAGTTAGGAAAATCAACAACTGAGAGCAAACACAATCACAGTATTTTCTCACATTGAGCGACATGCAATAAATTAATTTAACTTTGACATTTTGTTGTATATCAATTGCCAAAATAGTTGGTTCTTTCAATTAAGAAAGCTGTAAGCAATTTTGTTTTTTCAAACATGACAGGGCTAATAAAAGAGATTTGTTATTTTGATAGGTGTTAAAATGTGTTGTAAAAATGTCTCGATTTGCTCCTCATTTCAGCATCATCAAATTAAAGAGTTTCCCTACTAAAAATCTCAAGATTTCTTTCACACAAAGTCTCCTAAAAACAATAAGCAAACTTTTTGCTGAAATTGCAGTGAAAATCGCAGATAGTTTAGTGAAGTTCCACAGTCTTGAGTAACAATTTGCTGGAAACTCTCGACTCACTGTTCAGTCGAAGTGCTGTCAGCAATTGATGATTTATGTACGACAATCGACTTCAATGGTTGCCGGCTTCTGTGAACTTGAGTGCTGATTTCTGCCTAAATTTTTTCTTTTTCAAATTTTCTATACGTGGGTGGGTGGCTACTACCGATAAGGATTGAATGTTTGTCAAGTTTTGCCTTGGCTCTACTGCACTACGACAGCTCCAATTTTTGTCGTAATTTAATTTTCCGGAATATTAATTAAAATAGAGCGCGGCGGGCGAGCTCAGCAGAGCGCGAAAAATTCACAGCACGTAACATTGAAAAACTGTCAAACTGCCATAAATTGAAATATTCCAGTGCTCTCCTCTTTCCCATTTTCCCTATATACACTTTTTTCTTCCTTCTTGGTCCTTTTTGAATACAATCTTGGACGGGGCCAACACAAAGCGGAAGCAAACATTTTTTTACAAGGGCCAGAAGAGTGGATGGGTTTGGGGGCAATGAGTAGGAGAATGGCGCCTGCTGAAAGCTTTTCAAGCTGCGCTGTGTGTTTATTACCACTGATAAGGCGTTGGCGGGCGCTAAGGGGCGTGCCATCATCATCTATGTACAGTAGTTGCTCGCAATTTTCAAAAGTTTGGCCTTTCAGGCGTTTTTAATTTGCCAAAACTTTTCATTTCATGTTGGCCAACTCTCGTAACCGAGTTAAATAACTTTGGCGAAACATATTCTAAATAGGTCGAAGTTTCTTTATAAATTTGGGAACATTTAAGAATGTTTAGGGTACTCTGATAAATATATTTAAAATTTAAAAGTAAATTATTTAAATATGATCAAAATTGACAATTTCAGTCAAATAAATCCATTTCTAAGTACTTTTTGGTGAAATAAATCTTAATTCTTCTTAAAAACTTAAAATAACAGCACTTAAAACTTAATTTAAAATTAGTTAATCTTTGTACAATTTATTTTCTGATACTGTAGATGAGCTTGTAAGCGTGTTTCATCTGCACTTGTGCCCAAAAACACTTAGCACGCTTGTTGAGTGTGTGGCGCGCGCACTTAAAAAAGCGCACAGCAATTAATTTGATGAAAATCTGTGTCAGCTTTTACAAGAACTTCTCAAACACGAGGCGGAAGCGATGTGAAGGTGGAGATAGCTGCATAATGTTAACAGATCGAAACTGTTTGAAACAGACTTTTGTGGTCTGCCAGTCACATTAATTTGTTGGTACTCTCGTGAGGCAAAATCTGTGCATGCTGGCCAATCACTTCATAGTAATTTATTAATGGAATAGCGGCTGGGTTGGCGAAGGTCACGTCCCGGCGGTGACAAAAAATAAAGAAGGAAAAACAAAACTAAAAAGGGAAACAATCAAAAGAGCAACAAAGCCAATAAACGAGGGCAACAACTATTGTGACAACGCTTACAAAATGAAATTGTAACACAAAATGCAATTAAGAGTGCAAAACAAAAAACGTACTGGTTTGCTTACCAGTAACAGGAAAATGAAAACAAAAGCCGCACAGTGAAAACAATTTGGAAAACGTTGGCAATTAAATGCAATTAATGAAATTGTACAATTAAGAGTGTAGTTGCCTGTCCAGCCGATGACCATTTGACACCAGACTGGTTTTGCATTGGGTTTGGTACCCAACTGGTCGCGATTTTCATAGATTTGCATGTGGACAATCGGAATTTAACAAGGAAACAAGTTTTCTTAGATTTCTAAATGAAGTGTAGGAAAATGTATGAGGATTCATAAAAGGCGTTTGTCTAGGAAAATCAATGTTCTATAGAGTTCTCAGTTAAAGATTTTATCATCATAACTTTTAGACAAGAAATAAAGAGAATATCTAAGTTACTGCTAAGGAAATCTCCCAACAGCAGCCTGCAACACCTCTGAAAATAACACTTTGAAAAATAGAGAGGCATTTCGAATGCTACCACATGACTTATAGGCATTTGCATATCCCAC